GCATCTCTTTGGTTATTCTCTCTTTTCTTTTTTTATTAATCTGGCTAGTAGTCTGTCTATTTTGTTGATCTTTTCAAAAAACCAGCTCCTGGATTTATTGATTTTTTGAAGGGTTTCTCTTATCTCTATCTCCTGCAGTTCTGCTCTGATCTTAGTTATTTCTTGTCTTCTGCTAGGTTTTGAGTTTTTTGATCTTGCTCCTCTAGCTCTTTCAATTTTGATGATAGGGTGTCAATTTTGGATCTCTCCACTCTTCTTATGTGGGCACTTATTGCTATATATCTTCCTCTAGAGACTGCTTTAAATGTGTCCCAGAGATTCTAGTATGTTCTGTCTTCATTTTCGTTGGTTTTGAAGAACTTCTTTTTTTTTTTTTTGAGACGGAGTTTCGCTCTTGTTACTCAGGCTGGAGTGCAATGGCACCATCTCGGCTCACCGCAACCTTCGCCTCCTGGGTTCAGGCAATTCTCCTGCCTCAGCCTCCTGAGTAGCTGGGATTACAGGCACGTGCCACCATGCCCAGCTAATTATTTTATTTTTAGTAGAGATGGGGTTTCACCATGTTGACCAGGATGGTCTCAATTTCTTGACCTTGTGATCTGCCCACCTCGGCCTCCCAAAGTGCTGGGATTACAGGCTTGAGCCACCATGCCTGGCCAAAATTCTTTATTTCTGCCTTCATTTCACTGTTCATTCAGTCAACATTCAAGAGCCAATTGTTCAGTTTCCATGAAGCTGTGCAGTTCTGAGTTAGTTTCTGAATTCTGAGTTCTAACTTAATTGCACTGTGGTTTGAGAGCTTGTTTGTTATAATTTCTGTTCTTTTGCATTTGCTGAGGAGTGATTTACTTCCAATTATGTGGTCAATTTTAGAGTAGGTGTGATGTGGTGCTGAGAAGAATGTATATTCGGTGGATTTGGGGTGGAGAGTTCTGTAAATGTCTATCAAGTTTGCTTGTTCCATGTCTGAGTTCAGGTCCTGGATATCCTTGGTAGTTTTCTTTCTGGTTGATCTGTCTAATATTGACAGTAGAGTGTTAACGTCCCCCACTATTATTGTGTGGGAGTCTAAGTCTCTTTGTAAGTCATTAAGAGCTTGCCTTATATATTTAGGTGCTCCTGTATTGGGTCCCTATATATTTAAGATTGTTAGCTCTTCTTGTTGTATGGATTCTTTTACCATTATTAATGTCCTTCTTTGTCTCTTTTTATCTTTGTTGCTTTAAAGTCTATTTTATCAGAGACGAGAATTGCAACTCCTGCTTTTTTTGGTTCTCCATTTGCTTGGTAAATCTTCCTCTACCCCTTTATTTTGAGCCTTTGTGTATCCTTGCATGTGAGATGGGTTTCCTGGATACAGCACACCAATGGGTTTTGGCTTTTTATCCAATATGTCAGTCTGTGTCTTTTGATTGGTCCATTTAGCCCATTTACATTTAGGGTTAATATTATTATGTGTGAATTCGATACTGCCATTTTGATACTAGCTGGCTGTTTTGCCCATTAGTTGATCCAGATTCTTCATTTTGTTGATGCTCTTTAGCATTTGGTATGTTTTTGGAGTGGCTGGTACTGGTTGTTCCTTTCTATGTGTAGTGCCTCTTTCAGAAGCTCTTATAAAGCAGGCCTGGTGGTGACAAAATCTCTGAGCACTTGCTTGTTCGCAAAGGATTTTATTTTTCCTTCACTTATGAAGCTCAGTTTGGCTGGATATGAAATTCTGGGTTGAAAGTTCTTTTCTTTAAGGATGTTGAATATTGGCCCCCACTCTTCTGGCTTGTAGGGGTTCTGCCGAGAGATCTGCTCTGAGTCTGATGGGCTTCCCTTTGTAGGTAACCCGACCTTTCTCTCTGGCTGCCCTTAGCATTTTCTCCTTCATTTCAACTCTGGTGAATCTGACGATTATGTGCCTTGGGGTTGCTCTTCTTGTGGAATATCTTTGTGGTGTTCTCTGTATTTCCTGGACTTGAATATTGGCCTGCCTTGCTAGGTTGAGGAAGTTTTCCTGGATAATATCCTGTAAAGTATTTTCCAGCTTAGATTCATTCTCTTCATCACATTCAGGTACACCTATCAAACATAGATTAGGTCTCTTCACATAGTCCCACATTTCTTGGAGACTTTGTTCATTCCTTTTTGCGCTTTTTTTCTCTAATCTTGCTTCTCGTTTTATTTCATTGAGTTGATCTTCAACCTCTGATATCCTTTCTTCTGCTTGGTCAATTAGGCTGTTGAAACTTGTGCATGCTTCATGAAGTTCTTGTGTCATGATTTTCAGCTCCATCATTTCACTCATATTTCTCTCTAAGTTGTCCATTCTTGTTATCATTTCCTCAAATCTTTTTTCAAGGTTCTTAGTATCTTTTCATTGAGTTTGAACATACTCTTTTAGCTCACAGAAGTTTCTCATTACCCACCTTCTGAATTCTGATTCTGTCATTTCATCACACTCATTCTCCATCCAGCTTTGTTCCATTGCTGATGAGGAGTTGTGATCCCTTGTAGGAGGAGAGGTGTTCTGTTTTCAGGTGTTTTCCTCCATTTTGCACTGGGTTTTCCCCATATTTGTGGATTTATCCACCTGTTGTCTGTGTAGTTGCTGATTTTCAGATTGGGTATCTGAGTGGACATCCAGGTTGTTGATGATGAAGTTATTTCTGTTTCTTAATTTTCCTTCTAACAGTCTCGCCCCTCTGCTGTAGGACTGCTGAGGTCCACTCCAGGCCCTGCTTGCCTGGGGATCACCTGCAGCAGCTGCAGAACAGTAAGGGTTGCTACCAGTTTCTTCTTCTGCTATCTTTGTCCCAGAGTGATGCCCGCGAAATGCCAGTCTGATCAGTCTTTTGTGAGGTGACTCTTTGGATATACAGTGGTCAGGGAGCCACTTGAGGAGACAGTCTGTTCTTTATAGGAGCTCAAGTGTTGAACTGTGAACTCCATTGTTCATTCAGAGCTGCTAGGCAGGTATGTTTAAGTCTGCTGCAGCAGAACTCATAAACTGCCTTTTTTTTCCTCAGGTGCTCTCTCCCAGGGAGTTACGGCTTTATTTATGAGTGTCTGTTGTGCTGCTGCCTTTTTTTTTTTCAGGGCTGCCTTGCCCGTAAGGAGGCAGCCTAGTCACTGCCTGCAGAGGCTTTGCTGAGTTCTGCCCTGCTGCCGTTGAGCTTCCCTGTAGTCCTGTTTATATGGGTGTGGTTAGAACTGCCTCGGCAATGGTGACCCGCCTCTGTAATGGCAGACTCTCTCTGTTATAGCAGGTTGCCTCGGCAGTGGCAAGCTGCCTCAGCAATGGCAGACTACCTCCGTAGGGGTGGAGTGCCTCTGTAATGGCAGATGCTCCTCCCCACCGAGCTGCACTGTCCTGGGTTCTGCTGTGCTTGCCGTGAAACTCCCAACCCCGAGCGTTTCCAATTGCTGGGTTTTTTTGTTTGTTTTTGTGTGGGTGGGACCTGCCGAGCCTAATCCCCTGGCTCCCTGCCTCAGAGCCTTTTTTTTTTAAGTTGAATGGTTGACTCTCTCCTAGGTGTTCCAGTCACCTGCTGAAAGGGTGCAGGAATCTGTGTGATTTCCCATGCGGCGATCCACTGCACCAGCTGAAACAATGGTGCTGCCCGGAAATCTTCTGGCCAGCTTAAAAGGGTAACTACACCAGTGTATTTTGTATGGAGAGCCACTGCGCCACAGCACCGGCAAAACAGCTGGCTGGCTAAAACAGCCACGATGGCCAAAACAGCCGCGCGGGTGACCCATAGGACTCTTCCGCCTAGGAATCCCCTGGTCTGTGGGCAATAAAGATCCATCTGGAAATGTGTCATCCACTCACCCTCTACAGTTTCACTGGGAGCTGCAATCCTGAGCTGCTCCTAAAAGGGCCATCTTGGATCTTCCTATAGCTGTGAATTTTAACACAATTATAAGAGTGGCAGAATGAAAATAATTCCTAAAATAAAGTACAAAGGATCTAAAACAATGATAACAAAAAAAATCATAAAATCTTTAACTGTATTCCAGTTGGTTTAAAAGTAACTTTGAATTTTGTTGTATTACTAATACAAAATGTTAAGAGTGTTTATGACTTACCTTCCCACAACTCATGAGAACTTTAGAACACCTTTATTAACTGTGTTTGTGCCAATTTTCAGTGTAAAAAAATGGCACTTCACTGTTGACTATTTTTAAAAACAGAAGAAATCGCCAAGGAGAGAAATTATATATATATATATGTGTGTGTGTGTGTGTATTATATACTATAGTATATAATATATAGTATGTGTGTTATATACTATATTATAGTATATAATAATATGTATATACTATTATGCATGATACTCATAATAGTATCCTGGCTGTAGTAAATGTTGTTGTTTAAATTATCTGCTTTACTCCAGAAAGCTTCTCAGCTTTATGATTATTAACATCTGTGGATTGGGAGCCATGTCAAATATTTGAGATTTCCCAATTCATGGACTTTGGTTTCCTGTTTTGCTATGTACTGTGGCAGGTCAAAAAAAGTTTGCAACTCTTTACAGAGCAAAGAGAGACAGACTATACTATATGAATTGTGCATGTTTCAGTTTGTCTTAGTCTTCATACACAAAATTTTATCTGAATCTTTTTATGTGTTTTGTAGACCTTGGCAATACACTGACTTATTTTGTTCATGTATATTATGAAATCCTTCATCCACTGTGATGAGGGTGGGAGAAATAAATTTGTTAAAAAGTCTTCATTTGTCTATCCTAGGAGTTTCTCCAAGGCATACTATGGATTGCTTAGCTTTATTAGGAAAAAAAAAAATCACCTCCAGAATATTCTGCTAATGTAGTCTGAATTAGGTAAATATACAACTAATTGGCAATTGTGCTTATTCATCAGTAGTGAAAAGAAAATAGATACAGATTTATCATACAAATTTAACTGCTTTGTTTGGTTAGTTATTGTCTTTACTCTTTCTTGTTCCTGCCTCCCTCTGGGTCTCGTATTTTTGAAGAACTAGTTCCATTTTCCTTGTTTACTATTTCCCCCCTTATCCCTGTAGTTGAAAGGCCAGTTGAACAAACACAGAATTTGTTTTAGTCCCAACTAACCACAGAGTAGTCATTTCCTTGCAGAATAATTGGCTTAGGGAGAAAGAGACACAGAAAAAAAAAGTTCATCATATACAGCTTGGTCTGGCTACACCCCTTTGCAGAAACCAGCCTGTGTAAGAGCTGCTGGAGTAGGCACCCGTTTAAAGAATAAATGAAGAAGCAGCAATAAAGAAGTTGTAATCGTAACCTAGACAAAAAGAGAACTGGGTTTTGACAGTGTTTCTAGAGTGCTTTTTATTATTTTCCTGACAGTAAGTAAAGCTCTATTTTGTTGTGCTGTGCCAAATATGTGGGTGGACACTGCTAAAATCAATCTGTTTTTCAGATGTTTCCCAATTCTTATGTGTTTTATGTTAAAGACCTAAGACTAAATTTTTCTGTTTTTTTCCAATCATTTTTTATTGTGTAGATTGTAACATAGAAAAATGGGAAAAAATTGCTTCTGTGCTAGCTGAGGGAGAATTATCTGAATATTTTGATGTGAAAATATGAGAGAATTTTATTTTGAGGTTACAGAAACTAAAACAAATTGTTTGTGTTTCTTTATTTGCAAACCTTTGGGCAAAATTACTTTCCCATGTGATTTCTTTTTGCTTTCTTTTAAACTAATTTTATGGTTTCCTGAGTTATTCAGGGACTTCTGAATTCAGAAAAGTGAGAGAAATTGCTTTACTTTTCCTGTATCTCAGATCAAGTTTCAAGTAGTTTGAGCCTGGATTATGATTTACAACCTAACTCTTTTGATAAAAGTGGATTCAATCTGTAGGTAAAACTATAAGAAAATGCTTTATTAAGGTTGTATCAAGTGGATGTAATTTATTATTCAGACAAATTTAAGTAATCAGACTCTTGATGTTAATTTAATTAGCACTGTGATTTCTACTTAAATGTAAAGAACAAGAAATGGCTCTTAACAGGATGAAATTAATTTAATTACTCTATTCATGTACTTAAAATTCTGTCATAGAAGGCCAGAAATGTGAAATTATCTTATAGGTTCTGAACTTGAATTACAGCTTTTCCATGTCAGTAATTCCAAGTTATTGCAAAATTGTGGTAATAATCACTCTTATCTTCCCACTATCACCCACTTCCCTAAAAAGTTTAAAGTGAATATATTTTAGTTGAAATTTTACAGTCACAAATTATTCAAATAATATTTTAAATTTATGTTTATACTTTTTAAAGGTAGTAAATATTTTTCTCCAGAATATCATCAAGGTTTTTCTTATTATACTTATTTTTTCTAGGCTGTGTTTCACCATGATTACTTTCTCCTTCAGTAAATAGGCTAAATGAATATGAAACAGAAAAGTGTGTATCAGCAAACTAAAGCACTTCTGTGCAGGAATTTTCTTATGAAATGGAGGATGAAAAGAGAGAGCTTATTGGTAGGTTCAAAAACTTGTCTCTTTCCACAGTTAGCACTCTTACAGTGTCTCATTACCTATTGATTCTCGTATGTTTTTTTTTTAATTAGCAGACTGGATTTATTGATTTTACAATTCTCTCTAGTTGTATTTGTTGAATTGAGACACTCACAACAGTCTCTGAAGAATAACAGAACATTATCAAAGGCTAAAAGAATTACTCATATAAAAAGAAATTAAGTGAACATCTAATTATATGGTAAATTGCAGCAACTGCTAGAGCTACTATTGCATGTTATACACTTAGAGCCACGAACTACAAAAAAAAATGTTGCCAGAAGAAATGGAGAAATTTTAATTTTGTGGATTTATTTTCAAGGACATGAATTTTCTACACAAAGATTGTTTTTAAGAATTATGACCAACTAACAACACTGATAGTTTGCATCAAGCAGGTGGGCTAACTGCAGGTGACTAGCCCAGATATCGGTGGCTTACCACAGCAAATGTTTATTTTTAACTCCTCATGGTCTAATGAAAGTTAGTGGAAGAAAAGTAGGTTGGGTGAGTGAAGAAATCTTCTCCACACAGTCATTCAGGGACCTACGCTTCATCCAGGGCCTCCACCATCACAATGGGCCTTGGAGACCTCTAGAGGATCCACTGCATCCAGTCAGAAGATCAGGAAACAGTGGGACCAAGACAGTGAGAATATAGAAAGTTGCGTATATTCACAGACCATGCCTGGAAGTAGTGCGTTTCACTTCTGCCCATATCCTGTGTGCCAGGAAATCATTTAGTTCCACTTAATTTCAGTAGTCTAAAAATGTAGTCTAGCATGGTGTCAAAGAGGGAAGGAAAGGTGATTGAGACTGGTGAACAGCAACAGTAATAGCCTCCACCAGCCAGTTCCTTTTCATGTGCTTTAGTTTATCATACAAGAATATGACAACTGGCAAAAACATTGCTATTTGCCACCATGAATTCTATCTAGAATACTCCATGTCTTATAAATTCTGTAGTCAACTTCCCATGCATATAGAGATTGTCATTTTTTATTCACTCCATTAGTTTCTATGAGGGCTTCTGCAGGAGTTTGTGATTTAATGCATAAATTTTGTTCTAGTATTAGAGAATGATAAATGTGGCTACTGTCTCAGTATTTATCTTTCATTCGATTCTCCATGCTCTGAGGCATGGAGAGCAGAAAGTACATAATTGTATAGCACACCTGGAATTTGTTTTCAGCAGTATTTGATATTAACTGAGATCTTTAAGTGAATGCAAACTAAATTCATTCTCTTTTTTAATACATTACAGGAATGGGGCCTCTCAATACTTCTAGGACTGAGTGTTGCTCTGTTTTCCAGTGGCATGAGAAATGTCCAGTTTCCTGGAATGGCTCCTCAGGATCTGGGAAGGGTAGATCAATTTAATAGTTCTTCTTTAATTATTGTGTATACACCAGTATCTAATTTAACCCAACAGATAATGAATAAAACAGCACATACTCCTTTTTTGAAAGGTAGGTGTACTCATGGCAAAAAAATGAATTACTAATATGTTTATATACTTTTGATAAGATCTCTACACATTAATTTGAAGTTACAGTCATTTATTACACTAATAATTTAAGTAGTAAAATAGCATACAAATCTGTTTAGGTTTTTGCTTTCTCTCACAACAATTAGCCTTTGAAATACTTTCATCTTCTTGGGAGTCCACTTTAGGGAGGTCCATATTTCTATTGGAATATAACTAAATGCAGACTTATACTTTTAGATCTGCAGGATAGTATCTAGAAGGAATGTAGTCATTGAAAGTTGTGTGTGTTTTTAACATTGAATAAAATGATTGAGATTTATATCTCAGGAAAAAACATATAAATAAATACAATAGGTCATGATTATTGAACAATAATTTCATAACTTTGAAAAGTATAAATGAATAATCTGATAATTATTCTGTTCTGAATATAGTATAATTAGTAAAGACTTTTAAAATATAGTATAATTAGTAAAGACCTTTAAAGGTCTTTATTCTACATGAGATTATTATGTAACCAAAATAAGCAAAATGCATATTTTATTAATGAGCAAGTGGATGAAATTTGACTATTTACTCTTTAATCCTCAATTCCTGACAAGTGAAATTCCTGGCTATTAAAAGTAGAGTCACTTTTTAAAACTGTTTTCTACATAAGGCAAAGGTCACATAAATTTTCTTTGCTTCAGTAAGTCTGAAATAAGGAATTCATGACTGTATAGTAACTACAGCAATTACTTGTTTTCATACTCTGATTCTCTTATGCATATTTAATCTGGCACTTTTTTTATGTACCTAAAACTTGACCTGATGCTTGTCATTATGATAAGAAAACATGTACTTCTTATGCATGTCTTCTGATTGTAGAATCTAAACCATTAAAAGAAAATTTCCCCCCTAGCATTTGGGTTCAAGTTTGATTTAAATGGAAAATGATTTTAATTTAAGTCCAATTAAATTATACAGGGAAATGGTTCAATATCACATTCTTTTTGATAAAATTCTGTAACAATTTTCTATGTCTATTTTTACCTTGTAATTCACAGGAAGCAATATCATTGGGGCACCAAATAAAACATTCATGGAAGAAATACTTCTGGAAAATTTACCATTTGCTGTGGGAATCATCTTTAATGAAACTTTCTCTTATAAGTTAAGATTTTTTCAGGGATATAGCATTCCACTTTGGAAAGAAGAAGATTTCTCAGGTGACTTTCCATATCAAATATCATTATGGCATTTTTCATGTTTTCAACATACAGAACAGGTGAGGGTGGGCATCAGAGATGCTTTCAATGACACATGAAAAAATAGAGAAAGCCATTTCATTGCTGAACTTATTTCAAGGTCTATCGTATGTTCCTACTACAGGATGACTGCAAAAATTGTAGAGTCATCTAACATATATGTGTTGAGCACATAGATGCATAGGTCAAAGGACACATGAGTAACCAAGACTGACCCAGCCTCAGGTGAGATTCCAGTTTAGCAGCAAAGAAAGACATTGAACAATTAATGACAAGTATAAGAAAAAGTGTTTCATGGGCACTTAGATCAGGGTTTCCTAATAATGGGATTAGAGAAGTCCTACCTGGGGAAATAATGTTTAAAGGGAAACCAGAATGAATAGCAGGTGTGAGGTGCTATAGGCATTGTGTTTCAGATAGAAGAAAGGTAATTCTGAAGGCCCTCAGGTGAGAAAGGACATCTGTTCCCAGATCTGGAAGAAGAGCAGTTAACTGAACAAGAAACATGAAAAGGAATGTAATAGGAGAGTGAAACTGAAGTCACTCAAGTGCTACATCCTGTGGCATCTTGTAAATCTAGGCAAGGAATAGCCACGAAGTCACTTTAATCAGTGCAAGATGTAATTTGGTTTCCAAGATTAGGGGAGCACTCTGGATGTAGCCCGGAAAACAGATTTCAGACAGGCTATGGAGAATGTCAAGAAACAAGGAGTCCATTATGGCTGGAGCGGAGTGTTTGCTTTCATCTCATTTTTATTTTCAAAGACTTTCTAAGCATGCTGTGGTCTGAAAGAATAAAGTTGCTGTATTAAAAACTTTTATTTGCTCCCTTTTTCTATGTGTTTAAAAGTCTACTGGTGGGCTGGGTATGGTGGCTCATGCCTGTAATCCAGCACTCTGAGAGGCCAAGGTGCACGGATCACCTGAGGTCAGAAGTTCGAGACCAGCCTGGCCAACATAGTGAAACTCTGTCTCTGCTAAAAATACAAAAATTAGCTGGGTGATGTGGCCTATGCCCGTAATCCCAGCTACTCAGGAGGCTGAGGTAGGAGAATCGCTTGAACCCAGGAGGTGGAGGTTGCAGTGAGCTGAGATCGCATCACTGCACTCCAGCCTGGGCAACAGAGTGAGACTCCATCTCAAAAAAAAAAAAAAAAAAAAAGAAGACAACAAACAAAAACAAAACAAAAAATAGTCTATCGATAGAGTCTCCTCAATATTGTTTTCTCTCCAATACTTGTTTCATATTCTCCAACTGCCATCATCCCATAATGTTGGCTGTGCTTTTCTTTGTGTTTACAGCTCATTGCTGGGATGGATATGGCGAGCGTTGGTGTACATTGACCAAATACTGGAATGAAGGATTTGTGGCTTTACAAACAGCTATTAATACTGCCATTATAGAAGTAAGTTCTTGATTGAAAAATTCTACTAATTAATGTCAGCTACTTCCAGAGACCTCAAGATTTTGATGAAAGATAATCGTCTTAGTCTGTTTGTACTGTTACAACATATACCTCAGACTGAGTAATTCTTAAAGGACAGAAATTTATTTCTCACAGCTCTGGAGGCTGAGCAGTACAAGATCAAGGTGTTGGCAGGCTCGAAGTCTGGTGAAGGTCCATTCCTCATAGTGTCTAAGTGTCCTCACGTGATGGAAGAATGGAGAGCAAAAACTGCCTCAGCTACTTCCCTTTAGCCTTTTATAAGACACTAATCCATTCCTGAGGGCTCTACCCTCATGACTCAACCATTGCCCCAAAGGCCCTGCCTCCTAATACCATCACAATGGGAATTAAGTTTCAACAGGAATTTAGAAGCAAACTATAGCGATGCTATATAATCAAGTTTTCCTGTGGTTATATAATGAAGGAGATATACAGACCAAGGAACACATTGCATATCTACTTTAAAACTTTAAAACCAATTTTGAAATGGTTGTTGAGTCACAGGAGGCTGCAAATATAATGCACAGGGAAGTCCATGTACCCTTCATCCAGTTGCCTTTACTTACGTAACTATAGTACAGTAAAAAAAATTGGAGAACAGACATTAGTAAATATACAGAGCTTACTCATAGTTCACCAGTTTCTATCCTTTAAATAATAATAATGTTTGTTTAAACTCTAGATCACAACCAATCAACCTGTGATGGAGGAGTTGATGTCGGTTACTGCTATAACTATGAAGACATTACCTTTCATAACTAAAGATTTGCTTCACAATGAGATATTTATTTTATTCTCCTTGCTTTGTTTCTCCCCACTTGTATATTTTATATCACTTAATGTAACAAAAGAGAGAAAAAAGTGTAAGAATTTGATGAAAATGATGGGTCTCCAAGATTCAGCATTCTGGTGAGTGACTAATTCAAGTAGTGCAAATTAATAAACAGGAAAACTGAGACGCAGTGAAAAAGTGTTATTGTTTCAGAGCATCATGGTTTAAACTTGATGCACTGGCTATTTTTTCTTTTGTTCTGAGATTTGTATTTAGTCTGTTAAATTTTTCCATACAAAATAGCGCTTATAATGTGCTGAGCACTTTTTCTGTGCTATGAATATCTTAAGTCAACCCAACCCTGACGTAGAGGAACTGTCATTCATTTTATAAGCCAGGAAAATGAAGTTCAAAGAGAATAAGAGAATTGCCCAATGTCAGATGGAGGGTAAGTGCTGGAGCTGAAACTCCAATCCAAGTTCCCTGACTGCAGCTTGTTTGCTTGCCTTGTCTCCTTACAGTTAACAGTTGATTTCTTCAGACTTTCTCATGTTGAAGAGCATATGATTATATAAAAGTTGACTTGTGTTCAGGGGTTTGGCCACAAGGCATAGACTTTTTTGAAGCAAGTAAATAATATAAATGTTGGAATTAAATGAGAGAACCCACATAATATACCCAGGACATACAACACATAGGCTGGCATGTAGGAAGGCCTTAGTAAGGTCATTTGCTTTATATATTGACATTTATATATTACCCCCCACTCCACATATAACTTTAAGTAAAATAATGTGTGTACACATATATATGTAATATATAGACATATATATACATTACATATGTATACATACTTGAGTGTGTGTACATACACACACACACATATATATGTACAACATATATGTGTATATATGTAGGTAGATATAGGTATTTGTATTATAATAAAGACCAATAATTAGGAGTAGAAATAAAGACCTAACAAATAGGCGAGGCATGCTGGCTCACACCTGTAATCCTATCACTTTGGGAGGCCAAGGCAGGTGGATCACCTGAGGTCAGGAGTTCGAGACCAGCCTGGCCAACATGGTGAAACCTTGTCTTTACTAAATATACAAAAGTTAGCCAGGTGTGGTGACACACGCCTGTAAGCCCGGCTACCCGGGAGGCTGAGGCAGGAGAATTGCTGGAACCTGGGAGGTAGAGGCTGCAGTGAGCTGAGATTGTGCCACTGTACTCCAGTCTGGGTGACTGAGCGAGACTTCATCTCAAAAAAAAAAAAAACAAAAAAAGACCTAGCAAATAATCAGTAGGTAAGATTAGCAGATAGGAATGCAAAGCATACAAGCTCCAAGCTTCCAAAAGGTCAAAGCAGAGAATTTTGCAATACTATCAGTGACAAAATCCATACTGACTAGAAAAAGTAAAAAAGGAAAAAATAATCTGTTAATTTTACCCCAAAAGAAATATAACATTTGCTATATTAAATCCTGGGAGATGTTTTACTGTTTACTCCCTGTATCAAGCAAATACTCTTTATGGTTTTGGAACTACCTGGAATGAATGATAGATTACATATCAATTTCTTGTGAGCCACGTGTTACCTGAAATAAAACTATGGTCCAGTAAAATTTTAATTTTCTATAAAATATATTTTATTAATAGAGAGAATCTTAATTCTAATATACATAAATTGTAAGATAGAAAAAGAAGAACCTATGTCTTCAAATAAAGAAGGGAGAAGGAGAAGTTTTTGCAGTGGAACTTTGGGAAGTACAAAAGAATGGACTTAGAGCCTCCCATGGAGTCTATAGGAGGGAACCCCTGTACAGGGACCTCTGTACTGATCAGGGAATGTCATATCGGACAGTGTCCCTGCAGTCACCTGAGACCAGGGAGGCATGAGTCAACTCTATATTAAAGTCAGGAAGGTATGGGACATTTGGGTGTGAATTCATTCTCAGGATAAGTGATTTTTAGTATGTATGCAATCTAAATACTTAGCAAAATAAATTCATATATACATTCTTAAAACTAAAAAGAAAACGATTCTGAAACATTTCTACTAAGTGCAGGATATCTAGTGGAAATAAACTTTATGACAATTTTTTTTTTACTAATGTAATAAATGTGAAATGTAATCAGTATTTATTCTTTAAGCATAATGTCTGAATTGCTTTGTTTTTAGCAAAATGGTTTTTATATACTTATTAACATCTGTCTTTCCACTCCACCCCTGCAAGTGGTTCCTTTTTCTTAGTAGTGGTAATTTCTAGGTAATTTCTTTCATTTGTAATGTTCATATCCTGTGGTTTTTCAATTCCTACCTAACGTAGTTCCCTCCTGAATTGAGGAAGTGGGTTCTGCAGAATGTGATATGCTTTTTAAAAATGCTGATGCTTCTAACACAGGCTTAAACATTGTAATGGCATGAAATTTAAAAAGAAGTCAAATAAGCAGTAAATTCAGTGTAAACATGTTTTACTGGGACATATTGATGCAAGGTCCTGATTTTAATAGTTGTGCTATATGCTTCATCTTTTGAATTCTCATTTAATTAGTCAATGACAAGTAGAGGAAAGCTCTCTGGACAGAGATAAGGCCTGCAACTTCATGAACTTTGTTACAAACTTATTTTGTGACCTTGGATTTAACCCCTTAGGGGATTGCAGTTTCCTTATTTTTAAAATGAGACACAGGCTAAATCACGCTACAGGCTTGTTAGATCTAAGATTAAATACTCTTTCTTAATAACCACTTCATAAAAATATCAACTCTAGCCCATTTAAAGCAAATAGTGCAAACATTTAAAGGTGCAGCTGCTTTATACAAGTTTAAGTGAAGAAATTATGAATAGGAATAGAGAAAATAGAATGGGCTTAGTAGAGTTGTGAAATTTCGATTTTCTGCTATGAAAGAGACTGGAGGCGCTACCTGCTGAGACCCTCATGAATAGTCAAATTATCAACTGCCACAGTATTCATAGAGTTACTTGATTGATCAGAGGTTTAAGTTGCTTCCAATTCTACAGTTAGAACGGTATAGAAATATCTAACAAAACTGAAGATACAAAATGCTTAGAAACATTCTTGTACATATTTCTCAAAAAAGATAAGTATGAGAATGTTCTTGGCATTGTAGGAGAAAAAAATGGAAATAATCCAAATTTCCATAGGCAGCAGAATTTTGGGTCATATTCTAATAAATATTATACAGCAGTGTATCATATTGTTAATGTTGATTGATAAAGGCAATGTGCAGAAGAATACATACATATGATATTGTTGATACTGTTTAATACAATACTCATACTATTTATACAATACATGCACACAGAGCTGTTGTCTAATGCGTAGGTACCAACAAGGCACAAGGGCCCAGCTGTGCTTATAGTCACTTAATTGATTTTGGCATCCTTTTTTTTTTTTTGAGATAGAGTCTTGCTCTGTTGCCCAGGCTTGAGTGCCATAGCACTATCTCGGCTTACTGCAACCTCTGCCTCTCAAGTTCAAGCGATTCTCCTGCCTCAGCTTCCTGAGTAGCTAGGATTACAAGCATGCACCACCATGCCCTGCTAATTTTTTTTTGTATTTTTAGTAGAGATGGGTTTTACCATGTTGATCAGGCTGGTCTGGAACTCCTGACCTCAAATGATCCACCCGCGTTGGCTTTCCAAAGTGCTGGGATTAGAGGCATGAGCCACCATGCCTGGCCTTGGCACCCTTTTTTATTGGTTGGTACCTTTACCAGTGTTCAGTATCTATCACCTCTGTGTGCATTCGTGGTAAAGGTAATGAAAACGAATGGCAATTACGAAGGAGAATTGCCATTGAAAAAAGGTATGCAATGAACTTCTGCTGTCAGATTAACAATAGAGTTATTAATCAAAGGTACAAGGGTAGTTGTTACATTGTTCTTTAGATGCTTTTGTATATATTAAATATTTTGTAAATAAGTTAACATGATTTATATAACTTTTTGTTTTTATTTAGGTTCTCCTGGGGTTTAATCTATGCTGGCTTCATCTTTATTATTTCCATATTCATTACAATGATCATAACACTCACCCAAATTGTAATCATGACTGGCTTCATGGTCATATTTATACTCTTTTTCTTATATGGCTTATCTTTGGTAAGTTCATACATTTATTACCACTTTCTCTGCTTTAGATCTTAGCTATATGTAGCTAATATTAATGCCCTAATAAGTTACTACAATCACTACTTTCATGTTCATCATGTGTATGCACAAGTGTGTATGTCCTTGCATGTACTTGAGATAGTTTCTATGGAGTGAAAAAATTATGTAATCAAAAAAAAATTTGACCTGTCTTTTGCATAAAGGTCTGAACTAATGAAATTATGTATCAAAAAGAAAAAAATGATACTGACTCTAAAAATATCAAAGCCTTTTCTGTATAATTATTGAGGTTATTTTTTTCAGAAATTAGCATTTTTATTTTTATTTATTTATTTATTTTTAATTGCATTTTAGGTTTTGGGGTACATATGCAGAACATGCAAGATAGTTGCATAGGTACACACATGGCAGTGTGTTTTGCTGCCTTCCTCCCCTTCACCCACATTTGGCGTTTCTCCCCAGGCTATTCTTCCCCAGCTCCTCCAAGCTGTCCCTCCCCTATTCCCCCCAATAGACCCCAGTGTGTAGTACTCCCTTCCCTGTGTCCATGTGTTCTCATTTTTCATCACCCACCTATGAGTGAGAACACGCAGTATTTCATTTTCTGTTCTTGTGTCAGTTTGCTGAGAATGATGTTCTCCAGATTCATCCATGTCCCTACAAAGGACACGAACTCATCATTTTTGAATGCTGCATAATATTCCATGGTGTATATGTGCCACATTTTCCAAGTCCAGTCTATCATCGATGGGCATTTAAATTGGTTGCAGGTCTTTGCTATTGTAAACAGTGCTGCATGAACATTTGTGTGTGTGTGTCCTTATAGTAGAACAATTTATGGTCCTTTGGATATATACCCAGTAATGGGATTCCTGGGTCAAATGGAATTTCTATTTCTAAGGCCTTGAGGGATTGCCACACTGTCTTCCACAATGATTGAACTAATTTACACTCCCACCAACAGTGCAAAAGTGTTCCTATTTCTCCACATCCTCTCCAGCATCTGTTGTCTCCACAATTTTTAATGATTGCCGTTCTAACTGGCGTGAGATGGTATCTCAATGTAATTTTGATTTGCATCTCTCTAATGACCAGTGATGATGAGCATTTTTTCATATGTTTGTTAGCCTCATGTATGTTTTCTTTTGTAAAGTGTCTGTTCATATCCTTTGCCCATTTTTGAATGGGCTTGTTTGTTTTTTTCCTGTAAATCTGTTTGAGTTCTTTGTAGATTCTGGGTATCAGCCCTTTGTCAGATGGGTAAACTGCAAAATTTTTTCCCATTCTGTTGGTTGCTGATTCACTCTAATGACTGTTTCTTTTGCCGTGTAGAAGCTGTGGAGTTTGATTAGGTTGCATTTGTCTATTTTGGCTTTTGTTGCCAATGCTTTTGGTGTTTTGTTCATGAAGTCCTTGCCTACTCCTATATCCTGAATGGTTTTGCCTAGATTTTCTTCTAGGATTTTTTATGGTGCCAGGTCTTATGTTTAAGTCTTTAATCCATCTGGTGTTAATTTTAGTGTAAGGTGTCAGGAAGGGGTCCAATTTCTGCTTTCTGCACATGGCTAGCCAGTTTTCCCAACACCATTTATTAAACAGGGAATCCTTTCTCCATTGCTTGTTTTTGTCAGGTTTATCAAAGATTGTATGGTTGTAGATATGTTGTGTTGCCTCCAATGCCTCTGTTCTGTTCCATTGGTCTATATCTCTGTTTTGATACCAGTACCATGCTGTTTTGATTACTGTAGCCTTGTAGTATAGTTTGAAATCTGGTAGTGTGATGCCTCCCGCTGTGTTTTTTTTGCTTAGAATTGACTTGGCTATGCAGGCTCTCTTTTGGTTCTATATGAAGTTCATGGTGGTTTTTTTCCAGTTCTTTTCCAAGAAATTCAATGGTAGCTTGATGGGGATAGCGTTGATTCTGTAAATTACTTTGGGCAGTATAGGCATTTTCACGATATTAATTCTTCCTAACCATGAACATGGAATGTTTCTCCATCTGTTTGTGTCCTCTCTGATTTCACTGAGCAGTGGTTTGTAGTTTTTCTTGACGAGGTCCCTTACGTTCCTTGTAAGTTGTATTCCTAGGTATTTTATTCTTTTTGTAGCAATTGTGAATGGCAGTTCATTCTTGATTATGCTCTCTTTAAGTCTGTTCTTGGTGTATAGGAATGCTTGTGATTTTTGCACATTGATTTTATATCCTGAGACTTTGCTGAAGTTGCTTATCAGTTTTAGGAGTTTTTGGGCTGAGATGATGGGGTCTTCTAGGTATACTATCATGTCGTGTGCAAATAGAGACAATTTGGCTTCTACCTTTCCTGTTTGAATACCCTTTATTTCTTTTTCTTGCTTGATTGCTCTGGCTAGAACTTCCAGTACTATATTGAATAGGAGTGGTGAGAGGGGGTATCCTTGTCTAGTGCCAATTTCAAAGGGAATGCTTCCAGTTTTTGTCTATTTAGTATGATATTGGCTGTTGGTTTTTCGTAAATAGCTTTTATTTCTTTGAGATACATTCCATTGATACCGAGTTTATTGAGGATTTTTAGCATAAAGGGCTGTTGAATTTTGTCGAATGCCTTCTCTGCATCAATTGAGTAATCATGTGGTTTTTGTTTTTGGTTCTGTTTATGTGGTGAATTACGTTTATAGACTTGTGTATGTTCAACCAGTCTTGCATCTCCAGGATGAATCCTACTTCATCATGATGGATAAGTTTTTTGATGTGCTGTTGCAATTGGCTTGCCAGTATTTTATTGAAGATTTTTGCATCTATGTTCATCATGGATATTGGCCTGAAGTGTTCTTTTCTTGTTGAGTCTCTGTTGGGTTTTGGTATCAGGATGATGTTAGTCTCATAAAATGATTTGGGAAGGATTTCCTCTTTTTGGATTATTTGGAATAGTTTCAGAAGGAATGGTACCAGCTCCTCTTTGTGTGTCTGGTAGAATTCGGCTGTGAACCCATCTGGACCTGGGCTTTTTTTGTGTGGTAGGCTCTTAATTGCTGCCTCAACTTCAGACCTTGTTATTGGTCTATTCATGGTTTTGGCTTCCTCCTGATTTAGACTTGAAAGGACACAGGTGTCCAGGAATTTATTTATTTCTTCCAGGTTTAGTAGTTCATGTGGATAGAGTTGTCTGTAATATTCTCTGATGATGGTTTGAATTTCTGTGGAAGCTGTGGTTATTTCCCCTTTATCATTTTTTATTACATCTAATTGGTTGTTCTCTCTTTTCTTTTTTATCAGTCTGGCTAGTGCTCTGTCTATTTTGTTAATCTTTTCAAAACACCAGCTCTTGGATTTATTGATTTTTTGAAGGGTTTTTTGTGTCTCTATCTCCTTCAGTTCTGCTCTGATCTTAGTTATTTCTTGTCTTCTGCTAGGTTTTGAGTTTTTTTGATCTTGCTCCTCTAGCTCTTTCAATTTTGATGATAGGGTGTCAATTTTGGATCTCTCAACTCTTCTCATATGGGCACTTATTGCTACATATTTTCCTGTAGAGACTGCTTTAAATGTGTCCCAGAGATTCTGGTATGTTGTGTCTTCGTTCTTGTTAGTTTCGAAGAGCTTCTTTATTTCTGCCTTCATTTCATGGTTTATCCAGTCAACATTCAAGAGCCAGTTGTTCAGTTTCCATGAAGCTGTGCAGTTCTGAGTTAATTTCTGAATTCTGAGTCTAACTTGATTGCACTATGGTCTGAGAGACTGTTATGCTTTCAGTTGTTTTGCATTTGCTGAGGAGTGCTTTACTTCCAATTATGTGGTCAATTTTAGAGTAGGTGTGATGTGGTGCTGAGAAGAATGTATAAGTTATTTTTGAGGGGTGGGCCCATTTTTTTCCCCATAAGGGTGCCCATCACATGGTTGCTGATTACAATATCTCTTCTCCCTCTAATATTCTGTTTCATACTCACTTCTTATTTCACTCCCCTCTCCCTTCTCTGAAGAGGGGCTTCTAATTTCCACCCTCCAGGATGCTCTCTGCAGAGAGTGTGTAGAGTCCTCCTCTTACATTAATTTAGCTTCATTACATTAATTTGGCTCCAAGCCTGCATTTCTGCTCCATCCTCAGCTCTTATTCCAGCTTTTCCTTCACCCTTTCCTCAGCAACAAAAGCCCAGCATTTGAGTAGAACAAATAAGGATCCTCTTTAAAAAGACGTTGAGGAAAGAACAGACTCATTCTACCATAATATTTTCACCATTTTCTCACTGATAAATATTTATGTTATGATATAAAAATCATTATTTGATTGGGCTGCCAATGATTCTCTGTGAGCTAAATACACATATAACAGCTGAATGTCTTTTCTCTCTTGCAGGTAGCTTTGGTGTTCCTGATGAGTGTGTTGTTGAAGAAAGCTGTCCTCACCAATTTGGTTGTGTTTCTCCTTACCCTCTGTTGGGGATGTATGGGGTTCACTGTATTGTATGAACAGCTTCCTTCATCTCTGGAGTGGATTTTGAGTATTTGTAGCCCTTTTGCCTTTACTGCTGGAATGACTCGGGTAAGAGCCTAGTTAATTGGTTTATTACTGAAATTTCAAAAGAATTAGATACTTTATACCCTTCAGGATCAGCACTACTCAAACTAAGAGCTTCTATTCTAAGCAATTTTTCTAAAGTTAAACTTTAAACTGTTATTATTACATTGTAGAAAAAGTGTTATCTCACAAAGAAACAAATTTTTAAAAATCCTGCAGATTTCACCTCTCAGATTTATTTTCATTTTGAAGTATTTTCTTCCAGTTTTTTTCCCTTATATACAAATATTTACTTTTATTGCTATTCATTTAACATAATAAAAATATCTGCTAGTTTATTAAAAATTGTTACATAAACCTACTTTTAAAATATTTTATTGTATGGCCTATGAATATGAAGAACTTTCCAAACACAAGTATAGTTTAACAGGTAATTATAAAGTAAATCAAAATAATTTGATTTACTTTATATTCTAATTTACTTTAAATTCTAATCCGTGAATTAGATGAAATAGATAATAGAAATAAATTAGATAATTATAAAGTAAATAAAAGTATCCATGAAATAGTATGTCACCACCAGTCACAAACCCCTCAGAACACTCCTTCTCCCTAAAGGTAAAAATTCTATGATATTCACTTCTTTGCTTTTCATTACCACCTAAGTATGTGTTTTTAAATAGAAGTTTTTGGTTTTGCATGTTTTAAACTCCATAGAAGTGATGTTGCACAAAGTTTATTTTTGAAAATCTCTCTTTTCTGCACTCAACATGATGTTTTTAGGTGGCAGCACAGTTTTTGTGCAGCTGTAGTGCTATTAGCATTGTGTTATTAGTATTAGCATACTATCAATTTTCTTATTGATAGATGATAATTTTTAGTTTTTGACTATTTTTAATAAAACTACTACAAATATTTGAGTACACATTTTCTACTGAATATGGACATTCCATTCTGTTCAGTATGTTAATGTAACAACAGAATAGTGTGGCTGAATATACAAATATTAATCTTCGTAGCTACCACCAAATATTTTTCCAGAGTGGTTACATCACTTTAGTTTTACACCGACAATGTTTCAGAATTCCAGTTTTTCCAATGCTTCATCAGGATTTGCTATTGCCAGTATCTCAAATTTTAGTCATTCTGATAGTTATGCAATAATATATCCTTCATCAAGTTGTGTTTCCCCGACTATTGATGAAGTTGAATACCTTTGTATATGCTTAGTGGATTACGAATTTTCTTTTTTGTAAATTACCTATCCAGGTCTTTGGGCCATTTTTTCTCTGAGTTTTCTATCTTCTTGTTATTGCTTTGTAAGAATTCCTTACACATGCAAAACATTCGACATTTTATTATTATTATTATTATTATTTAAGACCTTTATTAACAGGTGCTTGCAGTTTGTTGACTTTTTTGAAAAAATCAAGTTGTAAACTTTTATTACAAATTAAAAATTAAGTTCTTAAAAATCTCAACTTGACCAGATATGAAACAATTTAAAAACCTTTAAAGGCATATTAAGAAAAACCAGGCTTTTTTAAAAAACACATTTGTTATTACCAAAAAGAGACATCTTTAGGTAAAAATAATAAAAACCCCATGCTGCATAGACAATGCAGATAGTTCTATTTATCTGGTCAACGGGCAAAAGCAAGCACTTAAGGTCTTCAGCTCCAATCTTTTGTTCATTTCTCATTGCTGGAATTTCTTATTTCTTCTTGTCGTTATTTATTTGCTAGCTTTTTCCTCTCTTATTGGTACCTGTGATGAACAGAGATAAATAATTTTTATAAAGTCTAATTTTTCACATTTCTCTTTTCTGTAGAATGCTTTTTAAAAAAATCAGTTTAAGCAATCATTGCCTACACCAAGTTTACAAAGATATTTTCTGCTGTTTTTCTACAGTATTGACTGGTTTAGCTTTTACATTAAGATATAAAATCCATATCAATAAAACTTTTGTATTTGTATAGGTAGAGGCAATATAATTTTGCTACACAAATATCCAATTTCTCCAGTTCAATTTATCAAATAGACTATCTTTTCCTTGAATGAATTGCAATCTTTCTTTTATCATAATCAATCATGTATTGGCCAAAATGCCTGTCCTTGCACTGTGGCCACATTGTCCTAATTGTTTTGCTTTATCATATGTCTTGATATCTGGCAGTAGCAGTTTTACCTCTTTAATCTCCTTTTCAAGAGAGTTTTGTCTATTCTAATTTCTTTACAATTATGTACATTTTAGAATTAGCTTATCAATTTACATAATCACACATGTATATGCCTGTACAAAGCTATTAAGAATGTGATGCAGTTGAATATTTTAATCAATTTGAAGAAAACTGTCATCTTTTCTTCAGCCATGAACATAATATATCTTTGCATTCATTTAAGTGATCTTCAATTTTCTTTAATAATTATTTTATTTTTATTTTTATTTTGAGACAAAGTCTTGCTCTGTCACCCCAGCTGGAGTCTACAAACACAGCTCACTGCAGCCTTGGCTTCCTGAGCTTAAGTGATCCTCCCTTCTCAGCCTCACAAGTAGCTAGGACTATAGGCACATACCACCATACCTGACTAATTTTTAATTTTTGTAGAGAGTTGGTCTCACTGTGTTACTCAGGCTAGTCTCAACCTCCTGGGCTCAAAAAAGTGATCCTCCCAACTTAGCCTACCAAAGTGCTGGGATTACGGGTATGACGAATGCACCTGGCCTGTTTTAGTTTTCCTTGTAAAGGTCTCACACATTTTTATTTGATTTGTTCCAATGCTTTTGATATTTTTCATGCTATTATAAATAGCATCCATGTTTAAATTCTTCTTTTTAAATATTTGTTGTTAATGTAGAGAGATGAAACTGATTTCTGTACGTTGGCATTATAGCCAGCATACTTGTTATATTCTCTCATTAAACCCAATATTTTTCTGAGTTTTATGCTGAAATTAGGTATAATCATGTCGTCTGCAGATAATGATGGCTTATATTTTTCCCATAACAATCCTTATGCTTTTTATTTCTTTTTCCTACTTTCCTGCAAAGGTCCAGACCTCTATTAAAGTAAAGAATAGAAATGCAGACAAAATAAAAGCTTTTGACATTGTAACATTAAGCATGACACTTATTGTTAATCTTGGCACATGTAATTCACCAGATTAAGGAAGATTCATCTTCTTAGTTTGTGAAGATATTTTCTTTATTATGAATAGATACTAAATTTTACCAAACGGTTTTTCTGTGTCTATTAAATGGATCACATTATTTTCCTATTTTGTCTGTTTTATGTTGAATTACATTGATAGATTTTCAAATGTTAACCCAATTTGGGATTCCTAGAATAAATTCAACTTTATCATGAAAATGTTAACATTTTAACATAGACTGAGAAGCTATATAATGTGCAGGGTAAGGAATTTGAATTAGGAGTAAGACTTTCTCTGTTCTAATTTCACTTAGCCACTTTTGGTTACTTGACTTTGCTGTGCCTTAGTTTCATCACAAGTGAAATGAAGATTAAAAGCTCATTATTTTTATATACCTTATTGCTTATCTGATAGGGTTTTGAGCAAGATTGAATGGGATAATATGCAAAACATGTAGAATAGTGCCTAGAACATAGTCGTTGTTATTATATGGCAAAATTCTAAATACAAACTTTTGTGTGAAATAATAACTAGAAAAAGAGGTAAGTTCTCTTTTTATCTAATTAGAGGCTTCCAAGAATTTCTCATATTCTTGCCAAACTTTTTATTTCCTTTGTTGCCCAGAATAGATATTTGTGTTATTGCAATGATTTTATAAAAACAAATGAATTATAAATTCTTATACTTAGAACATTGTATTTATTAAATAAATGTTTCCTCCTAGTTTTTTTTCACCATAAAATAGAAATATTTTGATCAGTACCTTTATTGACTTATTTATGTATTTGAGTAGTAACTACTAAGGGCCTCTTGAAAAAGCTAGTTAATAAATTAATACTTTTTGCTGCTTTGTCAACTTATTTACTTATTTAATTTAAACATTTATTATTATTTTTGAATCTTAGGTGATCAAACTGGATTATAACTTGAATGATGTAATTTTTCCTGACTCTTCAGGAGACTCATATACAATGATAGCAACTTTTTCTATATTGCTTTTGGATGGTCTCATCTACTTGCTATTGACGTTATACTTTGACAAAATTTTACCCTGTAAGTAATAGTGAGTTTTTCTCTGACCACTACAGTTATTAATTACACTAAACATATATTTTTAAGGTTATATAGACTTTTTAAATGAGTATTTCCCATTTCAAACTAATAAGTTCTTTATTTCTACTTCATAATTTTAATGGTCTGATGACATTTTTATGTAAAAACAATTATTCTTATGACTTTACTATAACAATATATTTATGTGACAACAATAATTATAATATATCTTGTAATTATGCAGTAATTAAGTAATGTTAGGTTTTCATGTATCCCTGAAAGCATTTTGAAAAGGTCATTTTAGGATTTGTGTCAGAACAAGATGAAATAAATTAATTCTTATGATGGTTAGGATGGCAGAAGGCCATTATACTATGGAAGTGCTTCCTCGTGAATATTTGTTCAGCATTATTCTCAAAATGTTTTATATACTGTTTATATTTACAGAAATTAATTTCCCAGTTAGATTACCTTGCAAACAATCAAAAATTTCACCTAAACCAGAATTTTTTCACACATACTAGAATCAGAAAGCTTTTTTCTTGACACAGTTTTTCTGTTTATCCTCTTATTTTATATGTACCTTCCACTTTGACTATATTTAAGGTTGTCTTGCAGGTTTTCTATGAATGTACTGGTACATATTCCTGTCTTTCTGTGACTTCTGGTTGATACGTGAAGGCCCTTGATAATAAATTCAACTTCATTTTTTTAAACTGGAAAAATATATTTAAAATATCACTATAAATTTATTCTAAACAAATACATTTTATCCATGTATTCATGACTAAGCAGGAATCTATAGATTTCAATATTATATTCAATTATGTTGCTGTGGTCAAATTACCTAAGTTCACAAACATGTCTACAGTTATTTTTATGCACTATATTGTGGCTTTGTGTTTTCCCAAATATTTGGTTTCATAGCATCTCCTAAATTCCTTTTAGATCACATTTTAAAAATTTTTTAATAAATATGTTTATTGGGTGATGCAAATCTGTTTTTCATAAACCTATTATCAAGGCTACTGCAACCCATTGTTAAGACTGGAAAAAAAAGGACATATGTTGGTTTCCTTGATGGGTGTCCGTTTCTACAGATGTAGATGACAGAGGCTCTAAGATCTGTACTAAGGTCTCGATCAGGAAAAAGCTGGAATCCAGCTCAGCTGGTCATACACCTGATAATTTATTTGAACCTCATTTTCCTGTTGACTTTCTTTTTTTTCTTTTAGATCACATTTTATTTATACTTTGTCGAAAGCTCTATTATATTGTCTAACTTTTGTAATATGTTATTTCCTTTGAATTCTCATTGTTTTTGTCATCATCAAGTTGTCTTCTTAATAATAAATAGGATTTTAGAAGAAAAAATTTCTCTATGATGCTTAAAAGTTCAAGACATTCTGCATTGTTGTGAGCAAGGCATCTGTGCTCATTGTTACACTATATTGTTCTCATATTTTGTTGCCTCTTGGTTAATTAGATGGAGATGAGCGCCATTATTCTCCATTATTTTTCTTCAATTCATCATCTTGTTTCCAACACCAAAGGACTGATAATAAGGTTATTGAGAAAGAAATAGAACTTGAGCATCCCTCTGATGATTATTTTGAACCAGTAGCTCCTGAATTTCAAGGAAAAGAAGCCATCAGGTAATCACACTTATAATTAATACTAACATATGAGCACAAGGCTACAGAATTATTAACCAAGAGGAGCAGGGTGAGGTTGTGACAAAATATTGCAGGAGAAGACATTTGTTTTTGTCAGTGTCACTTCGAACTATGCTATTTCCATGATCACCAATTTTTTCTGTTACTTGAAAGGAAAATTCTCCTTGATTATCAGTTCCATATTATATTATCCAGCCACACTTCATCTTACTCCCCTTTCTTCTTCTTTCTCTTGTCCCCACCTTTATTTTATACTTGCTCTTTTCATTCTGTGAACCCCTCTCTCCATAGTTTCATCTGGCTTATATAGTAAGTTGGAAGAAGTAAGAAATTCTGAATCAGAAATTCTTAGATCCTAATACTCTTGTCTCTTATTTGATGTGTAATCTTGGAAAAACGAAATCTTATGAGTCTCAGTGTCTTCTATGAAACAAGAGTAATGTTGACTTTGTAGAGGTGTTATGGGATTTGGTATATAACAGAATTGTATGAGGAGCACTTAGGAGTATATTTTTAGCCAGGGATTCTAACTCAGCAGTTTTGGGATTAAACCCAAGTATCATGGATTTCAAAACAGCTCTGTAGATTTTTTTACAAAGTTTGGTACAAAGTTAATGAATCAGAACTTTAAATAGCAGTTGTTTATTTATTAACAGACATTTACTTAGTGCTAAGTACCTGACTTGGACATAATTCCCACAAAGAGCTTACAAGGCAGGTATCTTTATTTAACCCATTTTGAGAATATGAAAAGCGAAGTAATGAAAGCTTAAGTCTTTTAGCCAATATCACACAACTTGTATATGGGGAACTGGAATTGTAATCCAGACTGGCTCTACAGTCTATGCTCTTGACATACTGTTGAGATGTCAGGAGGCAAAAGAGAATCAATAAATAGGGAACCATAGCTAGCAAGTGAAATATTTCCAAGACAAAGAGGCCTAATCCATATACCTAAGCTTCTTTCATCTAGTTCTTAACCAATTTTCTGTTTAAGTTTCCTGAGGGGGGCAACAGGCCTTCTTCTTCTCCAGCTAGGAATATACCAGCTCTATAGAAAATATCTATCCAAACGAGAAAGGCTAAGTGAGGAATAATTCCGTAAAATTCAGTTCCAGTGTCATCAATCCTTTACCAGTTGAGGGTACAAAATTATATTATTATTCAAATTAAAATAATTCTCAGATCCAATATTCTAACAAAATCTGTTACTTACAAAGTTCCAAAAATTTCTTTATTCTTCTACTGCTGCCTAGTGGCCAAAAAAAAAAGAAAGCAAAATGTCCTCTACCTTCACCTTCCCCCTACCTTCCCCTCTCCTCCCACCCACATCCCCACTGTGCCTCCAACCCTAGCCAATGTATACAGTGTTGACTGGGCATACCTGTCACTTGTTCTGTATTCTTAGCTCCGGTGGAGATCTGAGAAAGTCATTTGATGCAAGGCCTACTCACTAAAACTTTTGGTTCCGTGGTGGGACACCTCACCCCATATCCACACCAAAGCAGGAAAGTAGGCTTAGGCATCCAATATTGTAGTGACAAGGTGGTACATACTCACTCACCGTTAAAGCAGGTCTGGACTGCAAAGCAATCTAAGACTGCCTTTCTACCACCCAACAGTAGATGCAGTTTCCAATCCACAAGTTTTATCTCTTTCTTCTTCACAGTGATTGTTTCTTAGTAGTATCATTGCCCGTCCCCACCTCTAGACAATGTCAAATCTTTTTCAATCAATTCCAACCTGTGAATTCTGTTTTGTATGGATATAAAAGGCACTGAGGTATTTCTTTCCTCCTAGGTGATCTCAGCTTTATATAAAAATGGACTCTTCCCCATTATGTACAAATGCTTTATATACAAAGGAATTCTTCCCCTAAGATACGTAGAGCTTACAGGATATGAAACCTTTAAGCTCTATATGTATCATGGATATGGATGAAAGCTTGTAGAATTCTAACCAGATCATGATTCTGGATTTGTCAAAATATATATATTTTTAAATTCACAACTGGCTTTTCCTCATTCATAACCCCTAAGTCACATTCTCTCTGGGGGCAATTGTGTACACATATGTACACTCTTGTAACTATAGACCATTCAGGCAATATTCCCAGAACACAGGTAGGATGTCTGCCCCAAATGTAAATGACTGATTTCATATCTAAAGTCTGGAAATGCCAGCTCCTCCTAAATGGAATTTTCTTTATTAAAATAAAACGTTAAAGTTTCACTTCAACAGCCATTCCATTTTACAAAGAAATGCTGATATAAAATACCTGGTCATACTCATCACCTTTTAACTTTGCTTAATTTATTCAGTCATTCAATAAAGATATTGTTGCATTTGCTGGGTTCTTTACTAATATTTAGGGCTACAAAGATGACAATAAACTGTCTGCCAAGGAGCAGACAGCCTAGGGAAGAAGATAAATAGGTACGTGAAATTCAATCTGATAAATGTAGGGATAGAGATATTAACTGTTATATAAACAATAGGAGTCTTAACTACCCTAGTTTAGGGAAATCAAAGAAGACAGCATATATTTTCTTCTGTTTAAATTATTTTTTATTGCATTTTAGGTTTTAGGGTATGTGTGAAGAACATGCAAGATTGTTGCATAGGTACACACATGGCAGCAGGATTTGCTGCCTTCCTCCCCACTACCTATATCTGGAATTTCTCCCCATGCTATCTCTCCCCAACTCCCCACCCCCCACTGTCCCTCTGCTATTTCCCCCCAACAGACCCCAGTGTGTGATGCTCCCCTCCCTGTGTCCATGTGTTCTCATTGTTCAACACTCACCTATGAGTGAGAACATGCAGTGTTTGATTTCCTGTTCTTGTGTCAGTTTGCTGAGAATGATGGTTTCCAGTTTCATCCATGTCCCTACAAAGGACAGGAACTCATTGTTTTTGATGGCTGCATAATATTGCATGGTGTATATGTGCCACATTTTCCCAGTCCAGTCTATCATCGATGGGCATTTGGGTTGGTTCCAGGTCTTTGCTATTGTAAACAGTGCTGCAATGAACATTCGTGTGCATGTGTCCTTATAGTAGAACGATTTATAATCCTTTGGATATATACCCAGTAATGGGATTGTTGGGTCAAATGGAATTTCTATTTCTAGGTCCTTGAGGAACTGCAACACTGTCTTCCACAATGGTTGAACTAATTTACACTTTCGCCAACCGTGTAAATGTGTTCCTATTTCTCCACATCCTCTCCAGCATCTATTGTCTCCAGATTTTTTAATGATCACCATTCTAACTGGCGTGAGATGGTATCTCAACATAGTTTTGATTTGCATCTCTCTAATGACCAGTGATGATGAGCATTTTTTCATATGTTTGTTGGCCTCATGTATACCTTCTTTTGTAAAGTGTCTGTTCATATCCTTTGCCCATTTTTGAATGCTTGTTTGTTTTTTTTTCTTGTAAATCTGTTTTAGTTCTTTGTAGATTCTGGATATCAGCCCTTTGTCAGATGGGTAGACTGCAAAATTTTTTTCCATTCTCTTGGTTGCTGATTCCACTCTAATGACTGTTTCTTTCGCCATGCAGAAGCTCTGGAGTTTGATTAGGTCCCATTTGTCTATTTTGGCTTTTGTTGCCAATGCTTTTGGTGTTTTGTTCATGAAGTCCTTGCCTACGCCTATGTCCTGAATGGTTTTGCCTAGATTTTCTTCTAGGGTTTTTATGGTGTTAGGTCTTATGTTTAAGTTTTTAATTCATTTGAAGTTAATTTTAGTGTAAGGTGTCGGGAAGGGGCCAGTTTCTGCTTTCTGCACATGGCTAGCCAGTTTTCCCAACACCATTTATTAAACAGTGGATCCTTTTTTCATTGCTTGTTTTTGTCAGGTTTGTCAAAGATTGGATGGTTGTAGATGTGTGGCGTTGCCTCTGAGGCCTCTGTTTTGTTCCATTGGTCTATATCTCTGTTTTGGTACCAGTACCATGCTGTTTTGATTACATTAGCCTTGTAGTATAGTTTGAAGTCTGGTAGTGTGATGCCTCCCACTTTGTTCTTTTTACTTAGAATTGACTTGGCTTTGTGGGCTCTCTTTTGATTCCATATGAAGTTTAAGGTATTTTTTTCCAGTTCTGTGAAGAAGGTCATTGGTAACTTGATGGGATAGCACTGAATCTGTAAATTACTTTGGGCAGTATGGCCATTTTTTTTTTTTTTTTTTTTGCTTATAATTGACTTGGCTTTGTGGGCTCTCTTTTGGTTCCATATGAAGTTTAAGGTGTTTTTTCCAGTTCTGTGAAGAAGGTCATTGGTAGCTCGATGGGGATAGCACTGAATCTGTAATTTACTTTGGGCAGTATGGCCATTTCACAAGATATTGATTCTTCCTAACCATGAACATGTAATGTTTCTCCATCTGTTTGTGTCATTGAGCAGTGGTTTGTAGTTCTCCTTGAAGAAGTCCTTTATGTTCCTTGTTAGTTGTATTCCTAGGTATTTTATTCTTTTTGTAGCAATTGTGAATGGCAGTTTGTTCTGGATTTGGCTCTCTTTAAGTCTGTTATTGGTGTATAGGAATGCTTGTCATTTTTGCACGTTGATTTTGTATCCTGAGACTTTGCTGAAGTTGCTTATCAGTTTCAGGAGATTTTGGGCTAAGACAATCGGGTCTTATAGATATACAATCATGTCCTCTGCAAGTAGAGACAATTTGACTTCCTGTTTTCCTATTTGAATACCGTTTATTTCCTTTTCTTGCCTTATTGCTCTGGCGAGAACTTCCAGTACTATATTGAATAAGAGTGGTGAGAGAGGGCAGCCTTGTCTAGTGCCAGATTTCAAAGAGAATGCTTCCAGTTTTTGCCCATTCAGTATGATACTGGCCTTTGGTTTGTCATAAATAGCGTTTATTATTTTGAGATACATTCCATCAATACCTAGTTTACTGAGGATTTTTAGCATAAAGCGCTGTTGAATTTTGTCAAAGGCCTTCTCTGCATCAGTTGAGATAATCATATGGTTTTTGTCTTTGGTTCTGTTTATGTGGTGAATTATGTTTATAGACTTGCAGATGTTGAACCAGGCTTGCATCCCTGGGATGAATCCTGCTTGATCATGGTGGATAAGCTTTTTGATGTGCTGTTGCAATTAGTTTGCCAGTATTTTATTGAAGATTTTTGCATCTATATTCATCATGGATATTGGCCTGAAGTTTTCTTTTCTTGTTGAGTCTCTGCTGGGTTTTGGTATCAGGATGATGTTGGTCTCATAAAATGATTTGGGAAGGATTCCCTCTTTTTGGATAGTTTCATTAGGAATGATACCAGTTATCATTGGAATAGTTTCATTAGGAATAATACCATACTTTGTATGTCTGGTAGAATTCGGCTGTGAACCCATCTGGACCTGGGCTTTTTTTGGGTGGTAGGCTCTTAATTGCTGCCTCAACTTCAGACCTTGTTACTGGTCTATTCAGGGTTTTGACTTCTTCCTGGTTAGGCTTGGGAGGATGCAAGTGTCCAGGAATTTATTAATGTCTTCCAGGTTTACTAGTTTATGTGCATTGAGTTGTTTCTAATAATCTCTGATGATGGTTTGTACTGTGGTGATATACCCTTTATTGTTTTTTATTGCATCTATTTGGTTATTCTCTCTTTTCTTTTTTATTAATCTGGCTAGTGGTCTATTTTGTTGATCTTTTCAAAAAACCAGCTCCTGGATTTATTGATTTTTTGAAGGTTTTTTTTGTGTCTCTGTCTCCTTCAGTTCTGCTCTGATCTTAGTTATTTCTTGTCTTATGTTAGGTTTTGAGTTTTTTTTATCTTGCTTCTCTAGCTCTTTCAATTTTGATGATAGGGTGTCAATTTTAGATCTCTCCTTTCTTCTCATGTGGGCATTTATTGCAATATATTTTCCTCTAGAGACTGCTTTAAATATGTCCCAGAGGTCTGGTATGTTGTGTCTTCATTCTCGTTGGTTTCGAAGAACATCGTTATATCTGCCTTTATTTCATTGTTTATCCAGTCAACATTCAAGATCCAGTTGTTTAGTTTCCATGAAGCTGTGTGGTTCTTAGTGGACATAATATGTGCATGTGTCTTTATAATAGAAAGATTTATAATCCTTTGGGTATATACCCAGTAATGAGATTGCTGAAACTGGACCCCTTCCTTACACCTTATACAAACATTAACTCCAGGTGGATTAAAGATTTAAATGAAAGACCTAACACCATAAAAAAACTAGAAGAAATCCTATGCAATACCATCCAGGACATAGGCATAGGCAAGAGCTTCATGATTAAAACACCAAAAGCAATGGCAACAAAAGCCAAAATAGACAAATGGGATCTAACCAAATTTAAGAGCTTCTGCACAACAAAAGAAACTGTCATTAGAGTGAACTAGCAGCCAACAGAATGGGCAAAAATTTTTTGCAATCTACCCATCTGACAAAGGGCTAATATCCAGAATCTCCAAAGAGGAAAAAACAACTCCATCAAAAAGTGGGCAAAGGATATGCAGTTTTAGAGCACTTAATTATCAAACCTGGCTTTACATTAGACTCATTTGGAAGAACATTAAAAATATCCCAATCCTCAGCCTTCACTGCTCAGAGAAAGTCATTATCCCAGATCAATTAATATCAATCTTTTTTGTGTATGAAATCTGCAGAGAAGTAATTAATATGAATCTAATATGAATCTCTGAGGGTCATTTGCAGGCATCAGTTCCTTTGGAATTCTAATGTGTATTCACCGCAGATAACCACTGATTAAGAGCAGTGTGTGTGTGTGTGTAACAGAGAGAAAGAAAAAAGAGAAAGAGACTATCTAGCAAACCATTAGATGTGTGAGTCTAAAGATCAATGAAAAGGGTGGGGTCAGCATTAGGTTGATGCTAAAACAAAAAATCCAATGAGAAAACTTCTGGAGAGAGTCTCAAATGAGAAGATCCATCATATACATGAAGAACCTTGACACCAAGATGATGTGTCTGATGAAAGAAGAGGACTTTATTAGGAAACAGAGAAGGAACATTAAGAAAAATAGGAAGCAAAGCAAGTAAGTCCGGAATACAGACACCACTAACAAAGAAAAAGTCATCAACAGTGACTTAAAATCCAATATGTAAGAATGGAAAAGTATTTGTTGTATTTTATAATTAAGAGGTCACTAATGATTTCATTATGAAGTGGTTTACTGGAGTGGTGAGTTCAGCAATCAGAGTGCAATTGAAGAGGAATTAAAGGTCAGGAGGTGAAAATGGCAAGTTTACAAAGGCAAGTTTACTTTGAGAATTTTGTAAAATACAGGGAGAGAGAAATTAAATTGTGTTAAAGCAGAAGTGAGTTCAAAGAGGAGCTGTTGGAGAGGACACTATAAAAGATGCAGGTAACAGAGTATCTGACTAATAAATAAATAAGCAAGACTAAGGCTGCAGGATGCCAATTCAAGACTCCTGGTAAATGAGCTGATCTTGAACAGGGAGAAGAACCAACTATTCTAAAGCTAGAGGAAGAAAGTGAGGATAATTACACAGCATTCTACTCTTCTAGGCAAAATACTAGTAGTTTAATTGTAACTTTTGAGAGAGACTCCTTTATTTTCTTTCTCAGGGGAAATGATTAATCAAAAATAGGTCTTTTTCTTTCTGAATAGACTTTATTCCATCCTTTATTTCATGTAAAGTGGTTGGCTGCAGATATTACTATAGCTAGGGCTATTAATGGCCTATGATATTTTCACTTCTGTGTTGGCTAAATAAGTACCCCCTCTGTTATTTCAGAATCAGAAATGTTAAGAAAGAATATAAAGGAAAGTCTGGAAAAGTGGAAGCATTGAAAGGTAAAGAAAAACATTTACGGATTTCATTCTTTCATGACTTCTTTGTTACAAAAAACGGGAAACAATTCAATGTGAAAAAATTTGAAATACATAGATAAGCAAAAGAAAAAAGAATACAAATGACCTAACACTATCACTCCCACATTAATCATCATTAAGAATATGCTGTAAAATTCTTCCAGATATTTCATGGATTTACATGAAATTTAACAATTTACAAAAATGGTATCATACAATGAAGGATGCAATTTCACTTTGTTTTTAAAGTGAAAGATTAATCTATGAACAATATTTTATATATTGTCACTGTGAGGAAAGACCATCTAGACTTAAATCTGATTAAGGTTTTATACTAGCCACTGAATTTACATAGTTTATATGTACTGGTGAGGTTAACTAAAGCAAGATGAGTAAAACCATTGACTATGAATTAAATTTCACAAGTCAATATCCTATAACAAACATAATTTATAATTTGAAATGAAAAAACACATTTTGATACAAATATTCTAACATACAGTTTCTATAATAGACATTTAAGCAAACATCAAAGTGAGTAGCAACATTTCATGGAGGACAATTTACTTTAATTAAAAATAATTTTTAGGGAAAATAAGCATGATTTTTATGAGAGACAAAAGCCTTAAAAGCTGAAAAAGAAGAGCCATGAACCTTCCACAAGTGGTGAGTTCTCCCACCATTGTGTTTATATTGCATGTATTTTCTAATAAATGCAGCATCCTTTAATTCAATCTTATTTGTTGCTTTAAGATTAGGTCTTTGAGCAATTTTATTCTCTCTCTAGGTTTCTCTCATCAAATACCATCTAGATCTGTGATTTCTTTCTTTAATTTTTAGCTCAGGATAGATTGAAGTAATTTTAAATTGATTACTAAAAGTTTTGGAACACATTTTGAACTACCTTTGCACTCAAGTCATGAACTTCCTTTTGTCTAACAAAAAAACTTCTTTAAGAATTTTGTTCATCTTAAAAATAGCAGCACCTTAACAAATTAAAAGCATTGGACATCAATACATTAAAAACATGACTATGAATTCAAACCAAGTGTAGCTGCTCTTTGGGAAATCAGGGAAGAAGTTTCATTCCCTCAGCCTCGTCTTCCTTCCTCGTGGAGTTATTCCCTGGAGCACATCTGCAACACCTTTGGAACACACTTCTGAAATCTATTATCTATGGCCTGTTTTTCAGAAGCAAAATAGTATTCCATTATATGGATACCATGATTAACTTATTAACACACCAATGTATGGGATTCAGTTTGTTTCCAATATTTAGTGTAATAAAAAATACTAGAATGAACAGCCTTGTTCAATCTTTGTAAATATCACAAATTGTTTCTTGAATATAAATTTCTAGAAGCAGAATTATTCAAATGAAACATACTTTCAAGATTCTTGATTCATATTTCAAATTATTTATCTTTAAAATTATAAAAATCTATACTCCCACAGTAATACATAATGAATAATAATGACAATGACAATAACAGTAACAAACATTTAGATTTCGTTGAGGACTTGGTGTGTGCTGGGAACTATGCTAAGTGATTTACATATACCATTTTACATTTAGGCCTGTGAAAGACATATTAATATATCTCTCACTTTGCAGATGAAGAAACTGAGGCTTCTATTTCATTTTTCCAGTTACTATGGAAACAGCCAGCATCACTTCCCTCTTACTCTGGAAAACACTTTATACTATCCATTTAAAAATTACAGACCAGGCATGGTGGCTCGCACATGTAAATCCCAAAGTGGATGGATGGCTTGAACTCAGGAGTTGGAGACCAGCCTTGGCAACATGATGAAACCCTGTCTCTACTAAAAATACAAAAATTAGCCAAGTGTGGTGGCGTGGGCCTGTAGTCTCAGCTACAGGGGGCTGAGGTGGGAGGATTCTTAAGCGTGGGAGATTGAGGCTGCAGTGAGCTGTGATTGCTCCATTGCACTCCAGGCTAGGTGGCAGAGCAAGATCTTGTCTCAAAAAGAAAAAATTACAAACATAAAATTTGTTAATGTATTTCTTTAGTTTTCCCAATATTATTTATTAAATACACCATCTTTTTAATAAATTTGAAAGGTCATTTTATTAATCTTTATTTTTATATTCACTTTGGCCCACATTAGACTTCAACTCTGTTTCATTGGTCACTATATCCTACACAAGTAACATATTATTTTAATTATTATAGTTCTAACGTGTATTATTTTGCCAATTAGGAAAATATTGAACATTGTATATTTTAAAGTATTGAAATGCTAAGAAACACACCACTAAACTAAATAGCCTTGTTCTATGTTGGGTCCAGACCTGTCTAATGCCCTTTCTGTTTATAATGTTAATAATTTCTTCTAAAAATAGGCTTGCACTTTGACGTATATGAAGGTCAAATCACGGCCATTCTGGGTCATGATGGAGCTGGCAAATCTTCACTGCTAAATATTCTTAATGGATTGTCTGTTCCAACAGAAGGTGAGTAAAAAGAAATTTCTCAAAGGCAAGATGTCTTATAATATAGAATGAAGTCAAACGTATGCCTCTTATTTTAAATTTTAAATTTGATGGCTTAAGAGAAATAATGTCTATCTAAAGTTGTTTCCAGGAGCAAAGAGCTATGTAATTTTGAATATACTTTATATTTCTGTAATTTTTATAAAAATTATCTTTATTACATTGTGTTACATTTCAAGGGAAATGTGCAGTTCTATAAGCATGTGTTTGTGTCAAGAATACTTAGTAATTGTTCACCAATTATTTTAGATATTTGTGAATATATGCCAATTTTTTCTTAAATGAGATCTATGAATATTAATAAAATGTATTATCTGCCAATTTTATTTTTAACTTCTATTCTTAGGATCTGTTATGATCTATAATAAAAATCTTTCTGAAATGCAAGACTTGGAGGAAATCAGAAAGATAACTGGTGTCTGTACTCAATTAAATGTTCAATTTGACACACTCACTGTGAAGGAAAACCTCAGCCTTTTTGCTAAAATAAAAGGGATTCATCCACAGGAAGTAGAACAAGAGGTAGGAGGGCATGCTTGGATTAACTGATCTGCCAACCACTTACCAAATTAAATAATGACCACAGAATTCTCTTCCATGATTTTTCTGCCCTGTTATGAATAAAATTTAGGCCAAGATGTCCCATAATAAATATGTACTGCTTTAAGAGAAGTTAAAATTGCATAATATGAATCATGTTGGATTTTAAAAGCTGTGAATTTTCTCATATAGGTACAACGAATATTATTGGAATTGGACATGCAAAACATTCAAGATAGCCTTGCTAAACATTTAAGTGGGGGACAGAAAAGAAAGCTGACTTTTGGGATTGCCATTTTAGGAGATCCTCAGGTAAGTGAGATTATGCATGAGGAAGGAAGCAAGTTGAATGTCTGTAAAACGTCAAGTTCTTTTACCACTAAAAGTGGCAGAGCTTTCATTGTAATGTGTCAAGAGAGAACCTGATATGTTAAACTATAAATAGAAATATATCAGAGGAAAATGGCTGGTTATTATTATATTATGGTGTTTGCTCTTTTTCATGCTATCATTTGGATACAGTTAATATGAAAGACATATTTTATCTATCTTCATTCTCTGTAGGTTTTGCTCTTAGATGAACCAACTACTGGATTGGATCCCTTTTCCAGAGATCAAGTTTGGAGCCTTCTGAGAGAGCATAAAGCAAATCGTGTGATCCTTTTCAGTACCCAGTCCATGGATGAGGCTGACATTCTGGCTGGTAATTGTTGGTTTTATCTCAGTTTCACCATGATGCAATTGGGGAATTTAGAAGCAAGGTCTGGTCCTAGGGCAAAAGCCCTGTTCTCAATACAGTGATGTTTTTACATTCCATAGCAGTCAGGAGGATGACAGGAGCCTAGTTCCACTGTGGAATTCCTTTCTGGTTGTATGTTTGCTAGGTTGTGACTGCTAATAAAAAATTCTGATTGCCTTTTCTTTTAAGATCAGTTATCAATTAATTTAAACATTCAAATCTTCTTTTATATAAATTTAGTTGAAAAATAGCCACTTATTCTTTAGCATCAGAGTATACAGTACAACATGTAATTTATGTTTTTTCTTTCCAGGAAGTATTGGAAAGTGCAGATAGACTGGGGTTCATGAGCTTATTTTATTTTAAATTTAACTTATTTGTATAAATTTAATGAGTACAAGTACAGTTTTGTTACGTGGATATATTAGGTAGTGGTGACATCTGGGCTTTTGGTGTATTCATCACCAGATAATGTACATTGTACCCATTAAATAATTTCTCATTCCCCATTCCCATCCGACTCTCGCACCCTTCTGAGTCTTCAGTATCGATTATTCCACAGTGTATGTCCATGTGTACCCATTATTTGGCTCCCACTTATAAATGAGAACATGCTGTATTTGACTTTTTGTTTCTGTGTTGTTTTGCTTATGATAATGAACTCTGGTTCCATGTTGCTGCAAAAGACATGGCCTCATTCTTTTTTATGGCTGAATAGTACAAGTTCATTTTAAATGCATTGATTTTAATGTGTATTTCAAATGTTAAAATGCACACTAGATTTAGTTACACCCCACTGACCTCATTCTTTTTTATGGCTGAATAGTACAAGTTCATTTTAAATGCATTGATTTTAATGTGTATTTCAAATGTTAAAATGCACACTAGATTTAGTTACACCCCACTGAATACTTCTCCTTTGCACTTCTGAGCTTTGGCTCCTCATCTTTCTTTTCTAGAGAGGGAAGAAATGACCCCCAATATCCTTTCTCACTTGATTTCTTTTATTCAGATAGAAAAGTGATCATGTCCAATGGGAGACTGAAGTGTGCAGGTTCTTCTATCTTTTTGAAAAGAAGGTGGGGTCTTGGATATCACCTAAGGTAAAGACATTGGGAATAGACTGGATTTATGTGTTTTCAATACTGGTATATGAAAAAGGTGGACAATTATGAAAGAGAACTGACCTCATGCTTCATTTCTACCATACTGGATTGATCAGTGTTTCCTGAATACTATTCCTACTTTCCTTCCTCCTGTGTTTTTACAATGTTAATCGTTGGCAACATTTCAACATGATAAAACAAACCTGACTTTTCACAGCAGGACTACTTCATGTGCCACTTTGCCAAGTAGCTGTTCTATGCAGCCTAAACTTCTACCTTCTTCCCATGGTCATTTTCCTCCACTGATCCATAAAATTCTGGAATATGTTTTCATTCTTTCATAGAGCAAAAAGGCAAATAATTTCAGAAGCCATTATTAACAAGGAGAAAAATCTAGGAGCAGAGAGTAACAATAACTGTGGCCAATAAGAAAGTGTATATATTAGTTTGTTCTCATGCTGCTAATGAAGACATACCCAAGACTGGGTAATTTATAAAGGAAAGAGGTTTAATTGACTCACAGTTCAGCATGGCTGGGGAGGCCTCAGGAAACTTAAATCATGGCAGAAGGGAAAGCAAACAAGTCCTTCTTCACATGGTGGCAGCAAGGAGAAATGCAGAGTGAAGGCAGGGAAAAGCACTTGTAAAACCATCAGATCTTGTGAGAACTCATTATCATGAGAACAGCATGAGAGTAACCACATCTATGATTCAATTACCTCCCACCAGGTCCCTTCCACAACATGTGGGAATTATGGGAACTACAATTCAAAATGATATTTGGGTGGGGACACAGCCAAACCATATTAGTGTATATCTAGGCTAAAATAATTTTATTTTTGAGACAGAGTCTCGCTTTGTTGCCTAGGCTGGAGTGCAGTGGTGCTATCTTGGCTCACTGCAACCTCCACCTCCCAGGTCAAGGGATTCTCCTGCCTCAGCCTCCTGAGTAGCTGGGATTAAAGGCACATACCACCACACCTGGCTAATTTTTGTATTTTTGGTAGAGACCAGGTTTCGCCATGTTGGTCAGGCTGGTCTTGAACTCCTGACCTTGTGATCCACCCACGTCAGCCTCCCAAAGTGCTGGGATTACAGACATGAGCCACCACATCTGGCCTAATAATTGTTTTTAAAAACCCTATAGCCTAACAAAATATGCATGTGGGCCAAATTTTCCCTAATAGCTAATGGTATGGTCTGGCATAAAAATTATTTTCCCTAAGAAGTCTCTTCTTCCTAACATTCTCACCTTCCTCTGTTTATCTATAACTATACATATAAAACTATTTACATAGCTTCAGTTACATTATATATTAGTTTGTATATTTGTAATTGTTCTGAGTTTATACATTTCTATATATAGATTGTAAGATTTTCAAACTGATAGATTACTATCATGTTGTTATTTACTCATTTTGTTGTTCCATAAAGCCAAGTAAAGTAGGGCCTAACAGTTCAATAAAAGCTCTTCTTTTGTGGTAGCAGTGAAGAAAATGCAAATGACTTATCTTTTCTTTTAAATATTAGTTTGTATAGGAATGAAATATGCAATCCAGAACAAATAACATTCTTCATTACTCATCACATCCCCGATGCTAAATTAAAAACAGAAAACAAAACAAAGCTTGTATATACTTTGCCATTGGAAAGGACAAATACATTTCCAGGTAACTTACATAAGATTACAATGAAATGAAATTTGGGAAAAAATGTTCACATTATTATTATAATAATTTTCTTTGCCTAATGAATTTAGATTTTGTCTTAGGTTTCACCGCCTGAGAAGCAGAACTCAAGATGAAGGATTGAGTGCCATTAATTTATTGGGTGGTTGCTTTCTGGAAGCACCAGCAGATAATGGGGACAGGAGCCAGGGAAGGGAAGGCAGCTAGGGATGTCTGAATTCTGGAGGCAGTTGAGGTGCAATGCCCACTGGAGGGAAATAAATGAAGTGGGTTTAGCGTTTTGTCACCAGAGGGGTGACTAAGCTGCAATTCTTACCCACTGATTCCTCCCCATTGTTGATTAAGGGATGACTACAAGAGCATTAACATCCTTATCCTTCTGGTTTACTCTGAAAATGAGCTTAGAATACTTCCAAGTCCAGAAAAAGGACTTCAGGCAGGTGTTTTGAATAAGCACATTTACTGTTACAGGGGAATGCAGAAGAGATGTTGGTGGGACATAAAGGTTTCTGCTACAGTTTTCTCTTTGTACGGTAGTCCCCCATTATTCATGGGGAATATATGGTTCCATGACCTCCAGTTAATGCCTGAAACTGTGCATAGAACAAACTAATTGCCATCAATCAGAAAACATTTCTGTTTATGTCTTCCACCTACACATTGAATGCCTTTTCTGTCTTAACTAAGCACCTACCATGCATTGTGGCTGCAACTTTTGCAGTTTGAGGTGCAACAGCAAAAGTAGCATGAATTTCTTTTGCCTTCTTCACAATTTCACAGACAGAAGATTCATTCTTACCATAAATCTTAGCATCAGCATAGGATTTTTTTCTTCCTTGTTGAGAAATTTCACCTTTTCACTTACAGGAAGCATTTTACGGCTTTTCTTTTTTTTTTTTTTTTAATTTTTTATTGGATTATAGGTTTTGGGGTACATGAGCAGAGCATGCAAGACAGTTGCATAGGTACACACATGGCAGTGTGCTTTGCTTTTCTTCTCCCCTTCACCCACATTTGGCATTTCTCCCCAGGCTATCCCTCCCCACCTCCCCCTCCCACTGGCCCTCCCCTTTTCCCCCCAATAGACCCCAGTGTTTAGTACTCCCCTTTCTGTGTCCATGTGTTCTCATTTTTCATCACCCACCTATGAGTGAGAATATGCAGTGTTTCATTTTCTGTTCTTGTGTCAGTTTGCTGAGGATGATGTTCTCCAGATTCATCCATGTCCCTATAAACGACACGAACTCATCATTTCTGATTGCTGCATAATATTCCATGGTGTATATGTGCCACATTTTTCCAATCCAGTCTATTATCAATGGGCAGATACTTTACAAAAGAAGACATATATGAGGCCAACAATCATATGAAAAAATGCTCATCGTCACTGGTCATCAGAGAGATGCAAATCAAAACCACATTGAGATACCATCTCACGCCAGTTAGAATGGCGATCATTAAAAAATCTGGAGACAACAGATGCTGGAGAGGATGTGGAGAAAAAGGAACACTTTTACACTGTTGGTGGGAGTGTAAATTAGTTCAACCATTGTGGAAGACAGTGTGGCGATTCCTCAAGGCCTTAGAAATAGAAATTCCATTTGACCCAGCAATCCCATTACTGGGTATATATCCAAAAGACTATAAATCATTCTACTATAAGGACACATGTACACGAATGTTCATTGCAGCACTGTTTACAATAGCAAAGACTTGGAATTTTACGGCTTTTCTTTGGCATATCCAAATTGCCAGCATCATTACTCTTGCACTTTGGGGCCATTATTAAAATAGGGGAGACTTGAACCATAATACCATGCCAGTTGCTCTGGTTTCCCAAAGGGCTACTAAGTGACAGGCGAGTATAATATAGTTCTGCTATATTATAGACAGGGGATGATTCATGTCCTGAATCTAAGAAAGATGGAGTGAGATGGCGAAGGATTTCATCACACTGCTTACAAAGACACACAACTGAAAACTTATGAATTCTTTATGGAATTTTCCATTTTAAGTTTTCAGACAGCAGTTGATAGTGGGTAATTGAAACTGTGGAAAATGAAACTGTGGATAAGGCAGGATTACCCTATTTTAATTGTGCATCTATTATCTTGCAGAGGAAAACAATACAGTCTACAAAAGTGTTCAATCATGGGTTCCCTGTCAACTGGGTAGCAGCACCCACTCAGACTTTGTTTGATATGCAATCCTAAAGATTACTAACTCTTTGTGCAATGCTTTCTACATGTTAGGCACTGTTCTAAAGGTTTCGTGTATATCAACTCATTTAGTTCTCACAACTGTTCTTTCTGTGAGGTGGGTGCTATAATTTGCCCTATCTTACAAATGAGGAAATTTAATTTCAGTCTCTTCTGATTTAAACAGTTTCCCTTTTGTTTAAACATTTAGTTTGTTAAAGTTGTAACTCCTATAGACCTACCTTAAACAAGCTCTTTTGAATGACTTGGTTTCATTAGGCAAATACTCAGGAATTTAGATTTTAGCTTCACCCCCAAATATGGCAGCTCTTTATGTTCTTGCAGTAGCATAGAAGATAGTGTTCTTCTCAGACCAAGTGGACTATGCCATGTTATTTTGTACTTGGACTAAGGCCCTGTGAGGTGCAACTGGTCCACTTTCTTTTTTGGTCAGAGAAGAATAAGGAATTATATGTTGGTACCACCACTGGAATATGTTACCTTGCCAGAGTCTCTGGTGTTGACATCTTGGCTCATGGCAGCCTCTTTACACAGATCCAAGACTCTGCTAGTCTAATGGCATGCTTATGTCCATTTCAGGACATGGGACTCCTAGGTCCTTTGCTGCCATGTGCAGGTCATAGGGAAACACAGTGTTTGCTACAGTCTCATCCACCTAGTTCCTCTCAATAATGTCCTTGGCCTATCTTCCCACCCAAAGTAGAAAGTAGCATCTAAGAGTCTTCTCCTAGAGTCCTGCAGTCTCATCCAAGTATCTCCATGGAAAAGCTACCCAATAAATGTGCATTGAGAAATATTAAATAAAAGGCACTGCTCTAGGGACTAGAAATACTGCATTACATAAGACATATGTGTCTCTACTCTCATGGAGCCTACATCTAACTAGATAGGGAAAGCAGACACACAAAATAAAGAAAAATTTTCTGCAATTGTATACTAAAATAATAAACAAAGCCAGGTGAGTTAGAGTGATGTCTGGTGTCTGGCTGAGGTTTATAAAAGTGGTCACTGGAGGCCACAAGAAGAAAATGGTTAAGAGCACTCAAGTAGAGGGGAGAGGAGGATGTCTGGAGGAAAATGAGTGAGGGAGCAGAATGGCAAATGGGGGTGGGTAATGTTGTGTGGATAGATGGAGATGGGCTCTTATGGAGCTTCAGGGGCTGTGTTATTGACTTTGATTTTTATTTTAAATGCATTGAGAAACCATTGAAAGACACATATGGAAAGAAGACCCAGAATATAAGTAGAGATACATGTGGGCTTGCAGTGTGGAGGTGAGAAGATAATGGTCTTTCTGATTGTTCATATTTCTGCAGAGAAGTCTGAGGACAGAGGAAGAGGTCTTCCTTAGTCATTTCAGAGAAGGAGAGTATTCTAATGAAATTTTGCTTTTGACCACTGTGATACCCCAAAGACATAATTTTCTGAACAATATTATGTATCATCTATTAAATAAGTACTAATTTACTTGGTTAATTCTTGATGGATGTGGTTTTTCAAAGTATCTATTCATATTTTTTGCCTTAGATCTTTTCAGTGATCTGGATAAGTGTTGTAGCCAGGGAGTGACAGGTTATGACATTTCCATGTCAACTCTGAATGAAGTCTTTATGAAACTGGAAGGACAGACAACTATTGAACAAGGTAAAGCCATTTGTATAATTCACAGAAAACCAATTCCCAAATGATCATGTGTCAAATTAGTATTTATAATTTTTTATGGGTGATTCAAAGTAAGAATTTCATTCCAAATTTGGCTTTGCTATTTGAGATGGGCTGTCATTTCTTACCATCATTACCAAGACGGATCGCAGATCCCTTCATGGAGTATTTACCAAGTTTCCTTTTGGAAAATATTTTCTATCCTCAGATGTTCCCTGCTTCTTAGATACCGCCAGGCTGTGAAAGGCTCTTAATTATGGAATGAGGTCTGAACAGATTTTTTAAAAATAAAAATTGCTCTTAACTTATTAATATACAAAATTCCACTAAGGTCTTAGTGGAGAGAATTCTCAGTATCCACACTTGTATATTTTAATGGGTGAAAGTATTCATTGTCATTGGGGAGCTCCTCTTATGCCAGACACTTAGATTAATGTATGGATATACATTAATATATATGCCTTCAACATTATCTTCCTATAATAACCTTTCTAAGACACTTCATTGGCACCAGTTTACAAATAAGAAAATCAGACCTAAGAGCAGTTAAGTGATCTTCCCCAATCATGCCACTTGTAAGTCACAGATGTTGGATTTATATACAGATCTGGTAGTTCAGCACTGATGATCTTTCCCCTACACTACTAAGTGATTGATACCTTAGTAGTAGATATTTAGGTGGTAGTGAATGGCTATTTTTATGTAGAAGATTTCTTAAAATCCCTTAGATTAATGATACTCTTGGGAATTTCTTTGCTTTTTAAAGATTCGGCATAATGAGATCACCATTTTTGTGAATTCTTTTGGTATGAATTCAGTGTATTTTCTCACTGACTATGGAATATGGACATTATAACATGTTTCTTATATTTTTTGTACTGTAACCACAAGCATTCTAAAACTTTGTTTTATTTAAAATTTTAATTTTTTATCACCATTGGCAATTATAAAACTTAACTATAGAAAGAAAATATAGATAGCAGTGGTGAAGTATAAACTTAATAAATACTGAAAAATGTTGTCTAAATAATTCCTTTGAATTGGTTATAAAAATAAAAGCAAATGTAAAACTTTTCTTTTTTTTTTTGAGACAGAGTCTTGCTCTGTCTCCCAGGCTGGAGTACAGTGGTGCCATCTCGGCTCACAGCCTCCTGGGTTCATACGATTCTCTTACCTCAGCCTCCCAAGGAGCTGGGATTACAGGCATCTGTCACCACGCCTGGCTAAGTTTTGTACTTTTAGTAGAGACATGGTTTTGCTGTGTTGGCCAGGCTGGTCTTAAAATCCTGATCTCAGGTGATCTGCCAGCCTCAGCCTCCCAGAGTGCTGGGATTACAGGCATAAGCCACCATGCCTGGCCATGTAATACTATTTTTAATTTTACTAAGGAAAATCTGTGATGCCCCCACTATGGCATTAATATTATATCATGTGTGTTTGTGTACATCTGTATAGATTTCGAACAAGTGGAGATGATAAGAGACTCAGAAAGCCTCAATGAAATGGAGCTGGCTCACTCTTCCTTCTCTGAAATGCAGACAGCTGTGAGTGACATGGGCCTCTGGAGAATGCAAGTCTGTGCCATGGCATGGCTCCGTTTCTTAAAGTTAAAACGTCAGACCAAAGTATTATTGACCCTGTGAGTAGCAGAGTACTGTGATTTTTGTTAGATTACGAGTTACAAAAGAGGTTCAAACCAGAAGATAATTTAAAACCAGAACACAACATCTGGCATTCCTGCCTTGGGATGGATAAATTCAGCATTTAATTTTTCTGACAGTGGGAATACCTGTATGTTAACACTTGATTAGGCTTATACATGCAGATGTGTTTTGTTTTCATGGTTTGATAACCTGCTGTTTATATAGTAATGCCTTTTGGTACTGTGTAGCATGCCAGGATATTACCTTCAGAATTTTAGCACCTAGAATCATGATTGGCATAAGGCAGGTTTGGCCCTCAACAAATATTTGTGGAATGTCTTACTAAATAAATAAAATTACTAGAGAGTCATATGCTAATTTTTCTTTATTGTTTAGATTATTGGTATTTGGAATTGCAACATTCCCTTTGATTGTGGAAAATATAATTTATGCTATATTAAATGAAAAGAGTGATCGGGAATTTAAAACCGAATTGTATTTTCTCTCTCCTGGACAACTTCCCCAGGAACCCCGTACCAGCCTGTTGATCATCAATAACACAGGTGAAAAGTAAAATAAAATTTAAATCCAGAAATAAGTTATGTGTTTCTTGCTGAATAGCACAGGACTGGGGGAAAGTAAATCATAAAAGAAGAAAATGTATATTTAGACTTCATTTATAGAAAACGCCTATGAGTAACAGTGCATATTTACTCTAATTTCGGAGATGAGAGGGATGATGAGGACAAGAGAAAAGGAACCTGGGTCACTGTATAACCTGGGAGAGTAAAGGTGTCTACCTGAAAATCCTAAGCTATTACATGACAAATAAGCTTCTATATTGGCAAACCCACTGTATTTTGAGATCTCTTTGTTATACAGAAGACTATCCTATACCACAAATTTAATACACACTGGTTACTATGTGAAGATGGCATATCTATCCCCCATGCCACTTCATTAAGTACAAGATACAGGAAGATGCTTTATTTTGTTATCCCAAACAATGGGTAGTTGGTTTTTTTGTTTTATTTTGAGACAGAGTCTTGCTCTGTCGTCCAGGTTGGAATGCAGTGGTGTGATCTTGGTTCAAAGCAACCTCTGTCTCCCAGGTTCAAGCAGTTCTCCTGCCTCAGCCTCCCGAGTGGCTGGGATTACAGGCATGTGCCATCATGCCTGGCTAATTTTTTGTTGTTGTTGTATTTTTAGTAGAGATGGAATTTTGCCATGTTGGCCAGGCTGGTCTTGAATTCCTGGCCTCAAGTAATTTGTCCTCTTTGGCCTCCCAGAGTGCTGGAATTATAGGTGTGAGCCACAGTGCCTGGCCGGTAATTTATTTTTTTTCTAACTGCTTAATTAACTTTGAAGAAGCAATTTTATGTTAGCACCTCAGATGTTTTTTAAAAAATCACAGTAAGAGTCTTCTCTTGCAGAGTTCCTCACTCATTTGATTTTTCCCATGGATTTGCAATTCAGGACTGCAGTGTATGCTCTTTAAACGAAGATAGTCTTTTTCTTTTGTTTCTCATTCTTCTTCTTCTTTTCCATTTGGGTTTTGGAAAGTAAAGTTTATTCACCTTGCTACCTTAAATGCTAATTGTAAGCTTAATTTCTGAGATCTAGAAAGGTTTCTTTACTTATGAGCTCATAAGATAAGTAAATGAGGTCTGTCTTTTTCTCTTCAGTCACTCTTGAGGACAATGGGCTTGTGTTAATTAATTTATTTTTGTCTCTGTACTTAGGTGTTTTGTGGTTTAAGTTTGAAACTTCTGTGCAAATTTGTTCCTCTTTTCTCAGATGTGAGCATCCCCAACTGCCTAGGTGAATGTGGGTCACCATATGGCATTCTACCTCAAGTGACTGTGGAGGTGGAGTGGGGTGTGTGGCTGTTCAAGGTGCATGGAAAGCTTATTTTCTATGTGCATGTCCCTGTATCACTTGGTGAAAGGATCCTAATTCATCTAGGGTTTGGCCTTATTTTTCCAATCCCAGAGCCCTCTATAAACTCCCATTTCAAGGGAAAAAAAATCCTTCTTTTCCTCTTATTCATTTCATCAGGTTTGCCCAGCTGTGCTCCTCAGATAATGTCTCTTAGTAAGTAAATGTGGGACTCTTACCCTGGGGACAACTGCAGCTGCTGTCTGTTCTGTGTGGAACGTGGGGAGGGGCCTGACTGGTTATCTTTTTTCCAGGTTAGTTTATGACCCTGACTATAGCTTCAGAGACCACCTTACTTCCTTGCATTCATTCACTCTGAGTTGAGGTATCCTGGAAATCGGTTTTACCTTCGGTCGTTTGCTCCTGTGTGCTCTAGGCTGTGGATTTTTCTCAGCTTGTATCTCTCTGTCAGACATTCTCATCTGCTTTCTTCTTTAGGGCCGTATCCAAAAGTTTGATCTGATAATGGCATCCTTTTCCATTTCCTAAGAAAGATTATATTTATATAATATACATGTATGTAATATGTATGTGAACATTTAAAATAAAGTAAAACATATATATGTGTTATACAGACATGTATATATTTACTTGTCTATTATTTGAAAGAATAAGGGAGAGAGAAAAGTTGGCTGTTTTAGGCTGGACAATCTGAAGTACTCCTCATAAAATTATTGTATCACCTCAGATTATTCAATTCAAATATTGTTTTTTATCAAAAGCCATACAATAGAATTAGCTTATTTTTATGATCACATGTTAATTTTCATTAAACAGATTTATAAAGCTAATTAATTGTGGCTTAAGATTTGTTAAATAGGAGGTGGTAGAGCGATTTCTCTTTCATGGGTCAGTGTTATTGTGATACCCAAAGAAAGATACTTATATGTAGTATCCCATAAATACTAACTTGAATTATGTATAGGATTTATTTTAAAAGTTTAATGTGTATTTTCTTGCTTTTTTATGGCCTTCTCTTATTAACTTCATTTTAGAATCAAATATTGAAGATTTTATAAAGTCACTGAAGCATCAAAATATACTTTTAGAAGTAGATGACTTTGAAAACAGAAATGGTACTGATGGCATCTCATACAATGGAGCTATTATAGTTTCTGGTAAACAGAAGGTATGTTTGCCTTTTTGCTTTTATGGAAAAAAAACTACTACATTTTACCTGTTTTAAAATTGCAGAAAGTTAAAGCTAGTATACAGCAACCTGACTCAGAAAAACATTCTGGGTTGTTATTTAACAAACTGTGATGTTTACCCAAGTTTTTATAAAACATTTTCTATCTTAGCTTTGTTTTGAATTAGATAATTTTTACGTTTGAAAGAATCTAAATTTAATTATATTATTTAGACTCAATAAAATATTATAGCTTATAATTATCAACTAATATAATTATGGATTTAAATAATTTTATTCAGTAGCTAACTACCTGAATAAAGTTTTTATATATTGAGGAAATGTATTAAATACTATAATATGTACATGAAATCCCTGAGAAAAAAGTATTCTCAGCCTGCCACCTTAGCATATGTCAATTTGGGTAAAAGAGTCAAGCTATAGAGATTCATCAGAGAACAAGACTATTGAAAATACTTCTTTTTTTTTGAGACAGAGTCTTGCCCTGTCGCCCAGGCTGGAGTGCAGTGGCATGATCTCAACTAACTACAATCTCTACCTCCCAGGTTCAAGTGATTCTCCTGCCTCAGCCTTCAAAGTAGCTGGGATGACAGGCAGGTGTCACAATCCCCAGCTAATTATCGTATATTTGGTAAAGGTTTTTTATCATCTTGGCCAGGCTGGGCTTGAACTCCTGACATCAGGTGATCCTCCCGCCATGGCCTCTCAAAAATGCTGGGTTTACAGGCATAAGCCATGGCACTTAGACTAAAAATACATCTTAATCTTAAGAACTCTTCAGTCTTATTTGCATTCTAATAAAAGCAAGGGGCCTAATTAATTGAAGCTATTCTTTATGTCTTGCTACAAAGTAAATTTTTTTAAAAAAGAAAAGCTGTTGAAGATGTGTTATTGAATTCAGTTCTATCTAAACTAGATAAACTATAAAAAATGTAATCCTTTTATACCAAGTTTGGGAAATTACTTTGTCAGCTACTATGTTACCTCTTTCACATATTTACTATGTGAATTAGTGGCAAGATTTAAACAACAAATCTCCTGATAGGTGCATGCACATTTTCCTAAACATGAAGTACATAGATATTGCTTTAGGAAGTGGGGGAATGCTTCTTTGGCAGTGTAAGCATGAATATTTAATGAATTCCATGCTTATCTCCTGTCCAGAAGACCAGCATTTCTTTTGCTGCTTCTTTTTAAGACAGAGTCTCACTCTGTCACCCAGGCTGGAGTGCAGTCGTGTGATCTCAGCTCACTACAACCTCTGCCTTCTGAATTCAGAGGATTCTTCTGCCTCAGTCTCCCAAGTAGCTGGGATTACAGGCATGTACCGCCACGCCTGGCTAAGTTTTGTATTTTTAAATAAAGATGGGGTTTTGCTATGTTGGCCAGGCTGGTCTCGAGCTCCTGACCTCATGTGATCTGCCTGCCTCAGCCTCCCAAACTGCTGGAATTATAGGCGTGAGCCACCATGCCCGATCTTCCTCTGCTTCTTTATCATAAACTGACAGTGTCTCCTTGTCAAGGAGACTTTTAAACTCCACTAACTGAAATTTTCCCATCAGCAAAATGGAGACAAAATTATCTAAAATTAGTAATATTAATAAAAATTCATATTCGTGTCTGCAGACTCTGTGTTAGGGCCTAATGTACATGAATATAGTCTCATTTAAACCCTATAACAAGTATCTGCTTTTCATAGATGAGGAAGGTAAAACTCAGAAAGTTTAGTTAACTTGAAGATGGACACATGGCAAGCATATGGCACTGTTAGGATATTTTATGCATAAACCTTGCCTTTGTTTTTTTAAGAATTTAGCATTAACATTATTTATTTGTTTCTGTTTTAAGGATTATAGATTTTCAATTGTGTGTAATACCAAGAGATTGCACTGTTTTCCAGTCCTTATGAATATTATCAGCAACGGGTTACTTCACATGTTTAATCACACACAACATATTCGAATTGATTCAAGCCCATTTCCTATTGTAAGTACTGAATTTACTGAGTCTAAAAAATTAAGAATTGGACAAGTAGCCTATTTTTTCTCTTTAGCTTTTAAATATCCATAAGTGGTTGTTAAGCCTGAAAATTATTATTTTGTCCTAATGTTTTGAATGGGTTATAGAAACACAACAGGATTTTTTTTTCTTGCCAAGTTATCAGGTAATTCTCATGAGGGAATACTTTTCAGTATTTTTTCAGTCTTCTAGGGAATGTTTTGAAAAGCTTGATTGCGGAAATATATGAGAGAGAGAAACAGAAGAAAGAAAACACTGACTTAGAAATCAGAACACTTGTAACCCTGGTTACATATAAATCTAATATAATTTTTTAGTGGACCCTCCATTGACTAAATGTATAATAGACAGACTAATATGAAGGAGAACCTGCCAGTTCTGGGTCTGTTGATTTATTTCTTCACCTACTCATAGTTGCTTTATGTTGGGAGGGAGTCTAACACACACCAGCTGCTCTGGATTCTGTGATTCTGTGTCAGTTGTGTATAGTATGGCTTCAGACAGTTTAGGCATTAGAAAGCAGTGATGGGAGACAGAAGAGCAGAGGACTACCTACTTTGGGCTCCAGTCACATCACCTCTTTCTGTTGTTTCTGAGGCCCAGAAGCAACAGTGGCTTGCTTCTCACTTCACCATCCTTGTGGAATGCTCATCACTCATCTAATCATGTTATAAAGAACTGTAATCTATTTTAAGCACTTAAGGTAGTCACAGTTTGCTGGTTAGACCCTGCCTGATACCAACAGGGGTCTCTCAAAAATGGCTCCATCTGAACTTCACTCCAGAAGTCTGAAACATCAGTAAGCAGGATTAGAAACTAAACCATCCAAAGGAAAGTCCATTTTGTGACAAAAGTGTGAAGTTCAGTCTTAATTTCACTGAATCAGGGGTGCTGGGAGTATATGCAAGTGCAGATTTTCTGCAAGCCATGGGGACAACAGGGAAAAAATATACAGTACTTGAGATATTCGTGACAGACATATACCTCCGTGAGTGGAGGATGACCAACTGACCATGTAAACAGGTCTGCTGCACAGGATGACTTGAGGGAAGGAGCATCTGAAGGGAATTCTCCAGAAAGTGGAACCAGAAGAATAACAGAAAGAGACAGTGATTACCCCTTCTCTCTGTTCCTTAGTTTCCTAATGTCATTGTGTTTGCTCAGGATCCAAATGGACTGAGGCCCATAGCTACTCTACAAGGCAGCCTGTTCCCCACTCCCACTTCCCCCTGGTGCACACCTTTCCTCCCTCATTCCTATGATGAAAAACGGAATTTATAGACATAGCCCTCTAAGCTCTAAATAAAGTTAAAGAATTGCAGAATTCTTTTGAGACAGGCTCATGCTGCTGTCCTCTAATTATATCCATGAGGTGGTCCTAGATGCTGCTTAGGTGTCCACTGGGCCTAGCCTCAAATGAATGCTGATTTGGGGGTAATGATTTAAAGTTCCTTTCCCTGAAGGTAAGATCAGCAGCAACAAGTTTTCTTCTTAGTTCTGAGCTTCAGAACACATCCACTCAGCTAGTGAGGTTTCCATTTCTGGGTTTGCTGAGAAAGACATGTTGCTCAGGCCTAAATTATATGTTCATCAAAGGTCCTAACTTCTGAATTCTTATTTTTTTGTTGTGGTAAAAATGCATGATAAAAAATTGACCATTTTAGCTGTTTGCAAGTGTACAGTTGAGTAGTATGAAGTATATTCACACTGTTGTGAAATGGATCTCCAGAACTTTTCCTTCTTGCAGAATTGAAACTTGATGCCCATTAAACATTTCCCCCTCCCTCATCCTAGAAACCACCATCCTACTTTCTGTTTCTGTGAATATTACTAGTTTAGATACCTTATATAAGTGGAATATTTGTCTTTTTGTTACTGTTTTATTTCACTTAGCATGTTTTTCAGGTTCATCCATGTTGTAGTATGTGACAGAATTTTCTTCCTTTTTTGTTGAGACGAAGTTTTGCTGTTGTCACTCAGGCTAGAGTGCAATGGTGTGATCTCAGCTCACTGTAACATCTGCCTGCTGGATTCAAGCAATTCTCTTGCCTCAGCATCCCAAGTAGCTGGGATTATAGGCATCCATCACCACGCCTGAATGATTTTGTATTTTTAGTAGGGATGGGGTTTCACCGTGCTGGTCAGGCTGGTTCAAACTCCTGACCTCAAGTGATCCATTTCAAGGTTGAATAGTATTCCATTGTTTGTATATACGTACACATTTTGTTTATCCATTAATTTGGACTTTTGTGTTGCTTCCACTTGTGAGTATTGTTGGTATGAATATGAATGTGCGGGTGTCTCTTTGAGAGCCTGCTTTCAATTTCTTCATGGAAATATCCTCAGAAGTAGGTCCTAAATGACTTTTGACTCCTCTTTGTTCTCTGAGTTGAAGATCAGAAGTCATTTTCCCTCCCACCTCTGTGCATAGATGGTGATGAGCTACACCTTTACTTTGATTTTGATCTTTCAACATTTCAAAAAATACATTTTTGTGGCTATAATTATTTGTTTCATTTAACAAATATTCACTACTTTAAGCTACCCTTTATATTTTCAGAGCCATGTAAGACTTGCAACAGGGCTGCCAGATGGTTCCATTTTCTTAATTTTGGTTCTATGTAGCACTTCTCCTTATATCACCATGGGCAGCATCAGTGATTACAAGGTAAGAAAAAGCGGGAGAAAGAAGTTTCAGGAATTTCAATATCTGTATTTTGAATGCTATGTGTTCAAAATGTTTTCTTCTGAGGAAAACGTTGGAATGTATGTTTAATTTAGATATTGCAGTTAAACCTTATTCTTAGCAAGTCAGAAAATTTACTTCTAAAAACTCAAAATGCTTTTTATTCCAAAGTCACCTGAAAAGTACAATGATTTTTCAGAGACTCCAGTTAATCTAAACCTTCAAAGGGAAATATTATAAACCTTTTGACCACATTATTTCCCAACTACAGGAAGGAAATCATTGATGTTGAAATCGAAGGCCAAATTTAAGACTTGAATTTCTTTTCCACTCTGGAAATTGCAATTCTGTATTTGTATTTGATTATGCCCATTATCCAGACAAAACAGTTAAATCTATCATTGTTCACTATCCTGAGCCAGTAACTCTCCAAGATGTTTAGACAAAGGTAAATGTATTCTGTCCTCCATGTCACAAAATAATACTTTTTTTTTTTTTGAGACAGAGTCTCACTCTGTCACCAGGCTGGAGTGCAATCTTGGGGTGCAATCTTGGCTCATTGCAATCTCTGCCTCCTGGGTTCAAGTACTTCACTTGCCTCAGCCTCCCAAGTAGATGGGATTACAGGCACCCACCATCACACCTGGCTAAGTTTTGTATTTTTAATTTTCATCATGTTAGCCAGGATGGTCTTGATCTCCTGACCTTGTGATCTGCCCACCTCAGCCTCCCAAAGTGCTGGGATTACAGGTGTGAGCCACCAGGCCTGGCCAATACTTCTTTTCATAGAATTTAATGACATGAACATTATGAGGTCTATTTTTCTATTCATGAGCTAGAGTAGTGTTGCAAGTCAAGCCTGTCACAATATACATTTTTTTAAAGTAGACAGCTTATAAACCATGAAACTGGCTCTATAAGCCTCAGGTTACAAAACAGTATATGCATAATTTTTTTATTATTAGAAGATTAGATTATATTTATCTTAAAAAAATTCTTCCAATGTGTTTGTGTTTGTTTTGGAGTTGCATTTTAATTAAATCTATGTACACTTCTGTGGTTTTTTTTTCATCAGAAAAAAGCAAAGTCTCAGCTATGGATTTCGGGCCTCTACACTTCTGCTTACTGGTGTGGGCAGGCACTAGTGGACGTTAATGTCTTCATTTTAATTCTCCTTTCAATGTATTTGATTGTCTACATAGAAAACATGCAGTACCTTTATATTACAAGCGAAATTGTGCTTGCTTTGGTAAGTAGCACAGTACATAAACCAAATTCCATAAAGTAATTAATAATAAATTTAAAATTGTTATTTTATGTAGTTAAGATGTTTTAATTCATATTTTGTAATAAACCAAAACATAAAACATGCAAAGTGCATGTATGATAAGATGGTTTTTAAAATTTATAATTAATTTTTCCCTCTGTAATATTTTATTTTTTGACTATATTATTATTTGTATTTTCCTCAGGCTATAGTTACTCCTGGTTATGCAGCTTCTCTTGTCTTCCTGATGTATGTCATATCATTTATTTTTCGCAGAAGGAGAAAAAACAGTGGCCTTTGGTCATTTTGCTTCTTTTTTGTAAGTACATATACATACATACAAATAGTGAAATAGAGTTATTTTTTAAACTTTCAATGTAATCTTAAATACAGATGTTTGCCTTAAGAAGTAGGAAAAATTAATAATACTTTAAAATTACACCATAGAAAAGAGAGAAAAGTGTAATGCTGTTACTGAATCAATAATATTTCTGAAGAAAAAAGGTGGCATGCTTTGAACAGAATTTATGGAGACTCTTACAGAAGACCTCATGTCTACAACATCCTGTTGAGTTTATGTCTCCTTCAGAATACAGGGCTTCCTGCAACACTAGAACAAAAACTGGCTTCCTAACAGTTGACAACACAATCCATCTCTACAGTGTTCAAGAAGGTATCTCTTAACATTAGCTGCTAATAGCTTCAGATACCAAAGATGTTTTATACTTATGCCAGGTTACTTATTAGTATAAAAGTAAAGAGCTTGTCCAAAATCAAGGAGAACTTTGGTGGAAATGTTTACTGAAACTCTAGAGACACCAGAGTACCTTGGGTCCTACACTTCAGGCCTCCATTAACTGATATCCTCAACTGGTGATTGAATGTCTATCTGGGAAACAGCTTTCAACTCTTGGAATGGGAATCTTGAACCCAAACAAAGATAATCTATAAGAATTGATATATTTAATATTAGATGGCTGCAAAAATAATTGTGGTTTTTGCTATTTAAAATAAGGGCAAAACCCCAATTACTTTGCACCAACCTATACTTCCCACTGGCTTCTACAAAAAACTAGTCTGGGACTCTTTTGGCCAGCAGGTAACTGTTGTTCCTTCTCAGTGGACTGAGCTTGGGTTTGACTTCTCTGAGTTGTATTTCTTTTTTCTGCAAAAGTGTCTGTAACTAGATCTTTCACCACCATTAGCACAATCCAGTTGAAGTATAGAAGCTACAGAAAGAACATTAGGGTTACCTCACTCAGAAAACTGAGTGAGATGCTCTTTCAGCCGCTTGTCCTTCAGTCTTAAGTAAACAGCATCCTGGAATGGTGGTTCCTTTGGTGGCTTTTCCTACTCTTTGTGTTGTCACTTATTACAGAGAAATCATTCCAAAATTCACATCTAGATGGACAAATTTTTGCTATGCGTCACATGAAATAGTTGCCCCTGGTTTACCATATACTCACAACTTACCCCAGTTTGTATAGAGTTGAAAGTTTCTCAGACAAGGGAGCATTTAATATCAGTGGTAGAAACATACCTCAGCCCTTGCCTTTTAGCTTTTAGTAGAGAAGCTGAGCAGTAATGATTTCCTCATGGCTGCAGGCTCCGTAGTGATGCTTTTGTTTGGAAAACATTATAGACAAGATTTTCTTAGCCAGGTTCCAGGAGTTCAAATCTGTGCATCAATTCCATAGACTGTGACAGATCTTCTATAACTGAATATGTCAGAATCTTCCAAAACAGTACACAGGCTTAAAGAGCAGAGACCATTTTCCCACTGCAGTGTAAGGAGTGAGAGTCCAATGAAAGCAACCTTCCTTCAAAACATGGCAGAAGATAGCATATGCATTATCATGTTATGAATTCCCCTTGTATATAGAGCAGCAAGTAAATAGATGGACAAGAGAAGAAATTTGACTTTGTTCTTTCTAAGGAAAGTCATGATAATGCAGAACAGCTTCTTTCTTAGGCTTGTGGGCTAATGTGGTGATTTAGGTGTTCTCACTGTGATTTGAAAAAAATGGTCACAAATAAAAGATCACAGAAGAAAATCAAACATGACGCTGAGAAACACTGTATTTTAAAAATCAAAACACATATACTTATTATTGCATGCCTTTTATCCTTTGCTGCCAATTATGCTTAAGTTGTTATGGATTCAAATAAGGCAAGACCATATCCCAGAGGCAAGGTACATTTTGCAAAATAAAGACTATTCAAAATGTAAAAACAAAATTACACCACAGTGTAGTAGTACAATACATATCTGCATATTTGTAATATCTGATTAGTTTTTCTTTGCCCTTCTTATACTTATTTATTTCAGTGTATTTATTTATTTTATTTTTCTATCATTGAATGGCATCTACAAATTTCTAGAATGGTGGAATGTCAGACTTGAAAAAAAATCAAAATTGTCTAGTATGATTCACCTAATTTTTAGAGGAAATAATTAAATAACTTAGGAAAACACGAAGAATAGTGACAGGCTCAGGAATAAACTTGGAGTCATTCAAGTTTATTCAGTCAACCTTATGTCAATGTCATTCCTCACGTTAAAAAATATGAGACAGTAGCATGGTTGGTGATACCGATGCATAACTTGTGCTGAATAACACATATTGATTTCAGTAGGCTAAAAAGTTTCAAAATTATACATTTTCACAAAGATCTCAAGCAATTTGCCCTAAAATTTGCATTTTCAAACAAATAACTTATAATTTATTTATAAATATATATTGAAAATGTATGTTGTGAGAATTTATCTTTCATTATGCAGCTAGTATCAACTTAAACCATGCTAATCCTAGGACTAAGGTAATTTGTTTACTCCTCACAGGATTGTATGTCAGAAGGTATTGTATATTGATATTCAGTGCAGTTGTCCTTTGGTGATCTGGGCTCCATTCAGAAGGATAGTGTAGGCAATGTCTCTCCATCGCTCAGTGAAGCCACAATCAGCAGTTAATTTGTTTCTAGAGTCCAGTGGACATCTGTACCCCCAGGGTTGTGGTACTTCATGGGTACTCTAGACCCCGGTCTGATAAAGAAGTACCTGTTCAGCCTATTATGCTGGGTGGTGGAGATATAGTAACAGATCTTAGCACATGGAGTTCTGGAGTATCCTCTGACACTGTCAAAGTTTAGACTCCTCTCTTGTCCCAGTGGATGAGAAGAGAAGAAAGAAATTGTAGAAATTTGGAGTTCTAGTAGAATAAGAGGAGTCAGCTAAATGAACTAAAGGACTTAGAGTGAACCCTAGATTTCTCACATATAAAGGGAGAGAGATAATAAAAGTAACTACATTATGGAGTTATGAGGAGTACAGTAAATAATTCATACTAAATTATTAATACCTGGCATTTATGTAATATTTAGTGAATTTAGCAATTATGATTCTATTTTTATTATAATCAGTACATTAATAAGATCTGGCAAAGGGTAGTGCTCAATACATATTTGACTGATCAATTGATCCTTAAAACAGAAAAATAAACAATGATCTTTATTCCTTCCAATTTGCCAATAAAAAAATTCTGAAATAAGGCAAATCCATCACAATAAAAATACGCAATCTCAGAAAAGTCATTTGTTTGGTATGGGAAAGAAATGGAGCAGGAAGGACAATGAGAAAGCTCCACAGTAGTCTAGCCGAGAGGCAGTATGGATTGTTTGTTTTTGTATAATTGCTATGTAACTTTCAACATATATAGGTTTTCATTCATTAGCAATATTGTTACTTTAGCTATAAAAAGGTAACTCCTCTATCCTCTTGTCTTGGCTTAAATTTAATAATACACTGGCTCAAGAAGCCTATTTGGTCATTTTAGCTTTCATCTTAGTTGCCAGTCTTTATCTATTAAGAGTTTTCTATTGAGGATCATATATATTCTTGTTAACAAAAGTTCCTTCTCTACTCCCTCTAAAAGGAGAAACTATCATGACTAAATGGGTATATCTGCATATGGGAACATTATGATATACATCATGAGAACACCTGTATCTTAAATGTTTTACAGAATATCAATGGGTTGAGTATGTCTGAAACAACATATTTGAACTTGCCTTGTAGGCCTCCCTCAACATGTTTACCATCACTTTAATCAATTATTCTGACCTAAATGTATTGATTTCCACCATAGTATTGGTTCCTTCGTATACTTTGCTTGGATTTCAAACATTTTTGGAAATGGTAAGAAATGTTAACAACTGTGTTATTAATTTTGAATATGAAGCATATTAAAGTGCTTTTCCCAGATCAAGAGAGACAGAAAGTAGTGGAACTGGGGAGTGACAGCAAATGGGCATAAGGGATTTTGAGGGAGATGATGAAAATGTTCGAAAGGTGAATTGTGGTGATGCTTGCACAACTCTTTAAGCTTACTAAATATCCTTCAATTCTACTCTTAAAATGAGTGAATTTTATCACATGCAAAAAGAAATCTCAATAAAACATTTAAAATTTTTCCCTATTCACTTTGCAAAATATAGGCATTGTCAAATGCTATTCAAATCTAATGCCAGTTTGGGAGAAAAAGTGTGCCTGGTGTGACAGGTATTTGTTACCCCCTGAGGATAAACTCATGCGATTCCATTCAATCATTCAAAAATATATAGAAATACTATTTTATGTTAGTCACTGTGCTAGTAATTGAGGACACCTGATGAGCAAGAGAGCACAGTCCTGACTTTCCCAAAGCTTACTGGAGGCAAAGACAGACCAAACTTACTCAAGTCAATGCAAGGAACTTAAAAGTTACAAAGGACAAGGGCAAAGTGCCAATGGAGGTCACACAATGTGCAGCTGTTATGTTCTAGCAAGTCAGACAATTCTTCTGGGGAAGTTATATTTAAATACATTGCTAAAGGCTGAATAAGAATTAATTAATAGGACAGGAAAGTAAGCATGTTCTGCAGAGGAAAGCAAAGGCCTTGAAGCAGGAAAAGCCAGGAGGCATTAAAGAAACTGAATGTGATTTAAGTGGAAAAAAGTATACGATGATGCCAGGGCAAGATAATTCAGTAGAGAACATACTTTTTGGAGCTCTGTACCATCCTGGAGGAAATGGCTTTAAGGAAAGTAAAGAGGACTTCCATAATCAGGGGTGTCCTTGGCAAACTGAAAAAGCCTTCCATCTGCAAAAATACATCTCCATTGGCTGAGCAATGCCTGAAGTTCTTGATTAGAAACTAATCCCTTTGCTTAAAGCATTTTCCTCCTAAGTAGACCTTTCACAAGGTGAAATATATTCATCTAGAGCTATCATGTACTATTTATGAGGAATGAGTAACTATCTGAATGAATTGATTGATGAAGAAAGAATAACATGCTGGAACTAATTATTATGATGAGAAAATAATCACCATTGAGTTAAGAAGGGGCTCTAAAAAGTCTTGTCTGGGGCACTTAAGAAAAATATTAAAGAATTAATATTAAGAAATTTTACCAGTGCTAACTCTTCTCTCTGCTATGCTTTCAGTAGACTTTCTGCAAATGTTAAAACAAATTTTTTAAAAAAATTGGAAGAGAGAAACAGACATAGGTTACTTGCTTATTGAGAGAAAGCAGGAGTAGAGTAGGAGGTTCTCCTTCTCTATGAGGAATTATTTTGTCACTAGTGCACACAGAGAAATTGAGCTTGATGAGTGAAAAGTCAATATATAAATTTTATATTATTTAAATGCAGATTATAAAGCAGATGAATTGTCATTTGTGTGTGTATGTTTTGTTTTGTCTTTTCAGAGAGAGCAGCCACACCAGAGAGAATTTCCAGAGGCACATTTTGAATTGAGTGTCACTGATTTTCTAGTCAGCTGCATAGTAAGACCTTTCCACCTTAGCACACATTCTTTTTGATGACTGTCAATCACTATAACAATTTGATCTTGTCCCAAGTGTGCCACTTTAAAAGTGTTTTTAAGATGATCTTAGATAAAGCAATTACATTCAGACATGTTTCCAAACCTTAGAGTTACATTTTACATGCTTGGATGGGCTGTAGTGTTCAAAGTTTAATATTAAATTAATTTTTTGTTTGCTTATCCTATTTACTGTTTCTTCTCTAAATTTGAGAGAGCTTGTGAAAAATAGAGATGCAATATAATTTAATTCTTTTGAATAATAGATAAAAAGGCAAGAAGTGAATAAAAGTGAAAGGGAAATGATTGTTTTGGTGTATTCAGGCTGAAGAGAACTACTGTCTTTGAATCCTATGTGTCAGTACTTTTCTAGGCACAGGAGAAATATAGACAGAAGTCTCTGCCCTTGTGGAGCTTATATTCTGGTGGAAAGAGGCAAATAATAAATTAAATAGATAATATATATGTTGTCAGATGGGTGGTCAGGAAAGGCTTCAAGAAGAGCACTTAAGTAGAAAGTGACAAGAGTGACCCTGGCTCAATCCAGGGTCAGTCAGGCCAAGGTGGTTGTGACTGAATGACCAGGGAAGAGTGATAGGAAAGATAGCCACAGAAGTCATGGGATAAAGTGTGAGGCCAGGAGAAAGGGTTATACAGGGTAATCTAGATTACTCTAAAGGTTTTGACTATTCTGAGTGATGGAAGAGGAGTCATTGGAGGGTTTTAAGCACTGTAATAAGTTCAGACTTATGTATTTAAAAAATAGCTCTGGATACTGTGTTGAAAACAGATGTTTAGAGGAAGAGGGGCAGAGATAGCCCAGGTAAGAAGGGGTTACAACAATCCAGGTGAGACAAAATAATGACTTAGGCCTAGATGGGAGTAGCATGAGTAGGGGTGAGAAATAATTGGGTTATGGATAATTTTGAAGATAGAGCAGATAGAATTTACTTACAAATTTAATGTGATTGGTGAGAAGAAAGGAGACAGGTTTCACTAACCTGGATTGCGAATGTATAGCTACATTTCTTCCTTAATGTATGAGAATGATTCACAACTATTTACTTAAGGACAAAATACTGCCAACTTAATTCAAATATTTAAATAATATTTGTGAACTTCTGCCTAAATGTAACTGTATTTTTTGCTTGTAGCCCTACTTTCAGGCTTTGCTATTCATTTTTGTTCTAAGATGCATGGAACTAAAATATGGAAAGAAAAGAATGCGAAAAGATCCTGTCTTCAGGTTGGGATGAAATTTAACTTTATACATAATATCATATTTTAACATTCCTAGATGATGTCTATGTTATTATCCTGTTAATACAGATACTTACAATGGAAGCACATGTTGATTTTCATTAGAGAAGGTGGATTGCTGCCTTGCTACCAAGAACTAGAACTCCCAGGCAGAGTTCTGGCTATAAGCATCTGTAAGAAACCTTCACTCCATCAAAAATTTAATAAAGACCCAAATATGCCATTCTCTCATCAGAGATAATTGTGCATCCTTGAAAAGAAAAGATGGGAAGGAATTGATTTAGCAACATAGTTGAGTGTTTTTAAAATGGAGGGCTATAGAAAGGATGAACAGCGAATGATGCTGAAAAAAAAATCTGATGTTATGAAGATGGGTTCAGATTGAGTAGAGGAAATGAGACTGACATGAATTTTAAAGAGAATGAAGCAGTACTTGCTGACAGATCTGAAAGAGTCAAAGATTTTTGCTGGAAGAATGTCAACAACACCAAGAAAGGGATTCTGGCTAGTGGGGCAGAAGTTCTTGGCAAAAGCAGAAGCAATGTTGACAGTCATCATCATATCATCACCTGCACATTAGGGAAGATGACAATAATAAAATCACAGGATTGCTCATTTTTAACACATCTTTTAACATCTAGAATGCCACATGTAATGCATTTCATTTTCTCCATAGAATTTCCCCCCAAATTAGAGATGCTAAACCAAATCCAGAAGAACCCACAGATGAAGATGAAGATGTTCAAGCAGAAAGAATAAGAACAGCAACTGCTCTGACCACTTCAAATGTGGATGAGGTGAAAAAAAAAAAAAAAAAAAAAAAAAGCCAGGGACAAAATGGATGTTAATGGAGGAATTTAAGAACTGCCAAGAACATAATTTGATGCACTGGGTTTCATTCTGAAAGTTTGGTGTTTGGTGCATTTTTGTATTATGAGTCCAAGACACTCCAAAGAAGTGCCTGCATAATCAAGGCAATTCGCTTCTTTGGAATGCCCTGAAGCTAAAAAGAGCATGAAGCCTAAAGGTTTTATTTTTCTTTTGAGAAAAGTGGGCTTTCTAAGTTAGGACTATAATTTCAAGACCAATAAAGACCTCATGAGTTAAAGAACTTAAGTTAGATTTGTTGAAGAATGCTAAATTGAGATTAAAATGTTAAGGGTTACTCTATTTGACTTAGATGTGATAGTTTCATGAGGTTAGCCACTCCTCTTCTGGCAAGACAATGAGCTGCTTCCATAAAACTAGGCTTCTGTGAAGCTTAGTCCATTTAGAAGCAAGAGATATTTTCTACATCAATGAATGCATAATACATTTAGCAGCATGAATTACTCGCAACTCAAAATACAGTTTGGTTTATGACAGAGGGCATGAAAGTTTCCAGCAGGGACCTAAAGTCTCTGAAATTGGAAAACTATGCTGTCATCTCTTCTAGAAACCTGTTATAACTGCCAGCTGTCTACACAAAGAATATGCAGGCCAGAAGAAAAGTTGCTTTTTAAAGAGGAAGAAGAAAATAGCAGCAAGAAATATCTCTTTCTGTGTTCAAGAAGGTCTGTAATCATCACTTTTAAAACTCACCATTATTTTTAGAACTACCTACTAAACTTCCGTGTCATAGGTACAGTTTTACTTGTTGAAGCATTCATTCGTTTATTCAACGTATATATTTTTTAGTATGCCAGGGAGTGTTTGAGACTCTGGAAATGCGATTATGAAGGAACTAGGCAAAAAATATCCAGGTAGAGGAAACAGTGAGGGCAAAGGCTCAGACACATTTATAAAGGTTGACTCTCTAATCCAGAGGCTAGTGGGTGCATCCACAAATAGAAGGGATAAAGCTATAGAGCTGAGCAGAGCCAGATTAGGTAGAGTTTTGAAAACAGCAATGAGTTTGTGTTTTATACAAGTTAGTGGAATGTCACTGTAGAATTTTTAGTGGACTTGTGTCATATTTAATTTATATTTTGAAAAGATTACAGACTAGCTATTGTTTGCCAGTTTGGGTTGGTGGGCAAGTTCAGAGGTTTTTATATCAGTTGAGATGAAAGATGATGGTAACTTGGAAACAGGTGGTTGAATTTGGGATGAAGAAAATATCTCTAACTTCTCACATTTGAAAATCATTCATACACATACTCAGTGCATCAGACATCTATTATGGAAAACAGTTGGGCACATTTCCAAATTAAGCAAGTAATCTGGGGGGAAAAAGACAGATGTATTGACATCAAATTCACAAGCTTTGCAGTAACATTTGGCATAATTACAGAAAATAAAGGACATGCTTTGGTGACATGGATTACATATATGTTATAAATCTCAAAATGGTACTAACTGAAGGGTGCAGAGGTCTCAGAAGATTTCATCGGAGCAAAAGGTTTATGTTGTTCAGTATTTCACTTCCAATATTGATAGTCCTATTCTTTCTTTCAGGTGAAATTTTGGGATTGCTAGGACCCAATGGTGCTGGTAAAAGCTCATCTATTAGAATGATATCTGGGATCACAAAGCCAACTGCTGGCGAGGTAGTGAGGAAATGGTTTTCATTTCCAAAATAGAAATTTTATGATACATGTAGATTATGTATTTGTAAGACTATACTTTTTTTTACCTTTGGATAAATTTTATTCTTTCCCCTCTTAAATTTTTACTGGGCATCAGGTGTTTATAAAAGGACTTGGAAGATTACCAGAAACCAATACATTTCCTCATCAATTTCTCAGAAACCACTTGAGCTTATTAGGTCTCTTTTCTTCTTTGCATGCAAAACTGTATTTTTATATTAGTACTTTAAATCATTTTCTGTAATAAATATATGAAGTAATTTTTTAGTATTTATTTGATGCCTAAACAATTTAGGCGCTTATATGTGTCGGTTTCTGGAATAATTGCACTATTGGAAAAAAGGCTGCATGTCTTTCTAAAGCTCTTTTGTTTTTTAAGGTGGAACTGAAAGGCTGCAGTTCAGTTTTGGATCGAAAGGGGGATGGCGGGGACGGCAAGTTCCTCAAGTTCCTGGGGTACTGCCCTCAGGAGAACGTTCTGTGGCCCATGTTGACGGTGAGGGAGCACCTGGAGGTGTATGCTGCCGTGAAGGGGCTCAGGAAAGGGGCCGCGAGGCTCGCCATCGCAAGGTACAGATGGGAGCTGCGATTCCTTTGTGTCAGAAGGCAGGGAGGTTGTAGCACTGATGATGAATTCGCTAATAAAGAATGCGAAGCGGATATGGTATCTCCACCTTTCCAGGGTGTCAGTGGCAGAGCAGGGATGAGGGTCAAGACCTGACTTCCTGCATCCCTGAATGAGAGATCTTTAAAAAATGATTGTATAAAATTATTGACAAGGAATAAGTGAACAAAACACTGTGAATCATCATCCATTTCAGTTTTCTAATTTAAAAAAACCTGGAAATGAAATAATCATCCATTTTCAGTTTCTCATTCAGAATTCTAGTTTTCCTTAAAACTGTTTATGAGGCAAAAACAAAAACAAAAAACTCATGTTCCAAAATAAGCCAATCTATTTTTTTTTTAATCATCAGTTAGGATTTTGACAATAATATTGCTAAACTTCTCTCCAATACTGGTACTGTTCTGTGTGCTTGGATTTTCCAAAAACCTTCTCTTGACCAGATGTTCTCCATCTGTCTTCTATCAGATTGGCAAGTGCTTTCAAATTGCATGAGCAGCTGAATGTTCCGGTGCAGAAATTAGCAGCAGGAACCACAAGAAAGGTATGTGTGGTGTGTGATGCTCTCTGGAGAGCTGGTGTGGTGTGGCAGCAAACGGGTGTTTTTCTGCATTGCAGTTGTGTTTTGTGCTGAGCCTCCTGGGAAACTCACCTGTCTTGCTCCTGGATGAGCCATCTACTGGCATAGACCCTACAGGGCAGCAGCAAATGTGGTAAGCATCATTATAGCCCAGAGCTGCAAGCATGTGCATTAGGGAAGGTTGCATATTTTAACTGATCTTGGAAAATTGGCCCTCAAACCCACTGGTTCCTGATTCAGTGGACATAATTTATATTATCAGGAAAACAAATATTTAACCAATAGATGATCTAATCTGCATCATATTCACGTGATATTCAGGTTAAAAAAACCCAGCATATTCTCGGAGTTTTAGATTTTTAATGTGGACTGTTAAAATACAAAAATATTTTGCCATTTAATTATTGAGATGTCTATAATTCTTTGCTCCTTTTTTTCTTCTACTGTGTTTCCTTGGAGATTATTAACTTCCTGACACAATTTTTCTATTTTTTTTTTTCCTTTTTAATGGGACATGTCAAATTGTTCCTCCAGTTTTTCTTGGGTTTATTCTTCTTCTTACTTTCCTGTCTAGGATTTACCCTTTGGACTAATAAAATCTTCAATCTAGTTTCATATTTTGACTGTACAATACTTTTCCAACTTTAACAAAAACTTTGTTATGGCAATTTTATACAAATGTAGAGAATCGCTCATGAATTCATTATTCCCATCAACCCGTTTCAGCAGGTATCAATAGAACCAATCTCCTTTCATCTCCACCCACTTCCTTTCTCCATCCTACAATTATTTTAAAGGAAATACAAAGCTACATATTCTTTAATTTATAAATATTTCAGTTAGTACCTCCAGAAGATAAAGGAGTCTTCTCTTTATTCATTCAACTACAATGTGATTAGCACATCTAAAAATACTTAAAAATTTTCTTTGTTATCAGAAGTCTAGCCAGTATTTACATTGCACTATTTTTTGTATTTGGATCTGAATATGATTCATATATTGTATGTTATCTTGTACTTGTTCTGCACTTTGTTATTTTAAATACTGTTAATTTTTTGCTCACTTTAGGCAGGCAATCAAGGCAGTTGTTAAAAACACAGAGAGGAGTGTCCTCCTGACCACCCATAACCTGGCTGAGGCAGAGGCCTTGTGTGACCGTGTGGCCATCATGGTGTCTGGAAGGCTTAGGTAGGTGTCTCTTCAAAGCCTGCATTTGATGCTCAGAATGAGATTTCTTATGGAAAGGGCAAAATCTCTGTGTATGGCTGGAGGCCTTCTGTTTGGTTTCCTTGGTGACACCTTTTCTTCTACACTTAACATTTAAGAATAACATTAAAAAATTAGGGGAGTATTTTTTCCAACATATTCTCTTTCTTGCCCATAGATGCATTGGAACCATCCAACACCTGAAAAGCAAACTTGGCAAGAATTACACTCTAGAGCTAAAAGTGAAGGAACCTTCTCAAGTGACTTTGGTCCACACTGAGATTCTGAAGCTTTTCCCACAGGCTGGAAGACAGGAAAGGTGAGACTTTTTTTTTTTTTTTTTGAGATAGTTTTGCTCTTGTTGCCCAGGCTGAAGTGCAGTGGCACAATCTCGACTCACTGCAACCACCACCTCCTGGGCAAGTGATTCTCCTACCTCAGCCTCCTGAGTAGCTGGGATTACAGGCATGCACCTCCATGCGGAAACAGATTTTTGATTATGAAGAAATACGTAGGCTTTATCCACTCACTGGTTTCCTTTTTGCTGTGTGAGAACTTCATAGTGATTTGACTTTATAATAAAAGTTAGGGACATCAGAAACTGATTTGTTCAGTATTCCAGATTCTAAGAGATTGAGACCTACTCAGGAAGCTGTGTCATCCGAGGCAGCCCAGGTACACCCTCCTCGACCATCCCAGGATGATTCCCAGTTCCAGAGGGGGACTTGGAAAGACTTGGGGGAAAGAACTGCTGATGACTCGAACCCACACAGGACCACAATGGCACCCTTCCTGGGCCTCCTCAGAAATGCTTAATATATATAAATATTTAAAATTTAAAAGATGTAAATATTGAGGGCAAATTCTCCCCATAGGAAACGAATGGCAATTGAGATAATCAAAGAGTCTCTCTTTAATGGAATTTTCATACCTTTCCAATGGAGACTGGAAAGGAGTGTGTGTGTGTGTGTGTGTTTGTGTGTGTGTACGCATGTGCACATATTTGTATGTGTGTGTTTTTGTGTATGTCTGAATGTTATTTTGGCAGAGGGCAAGAAGGTGGAGTGGAAACTGAATTTGAAATTCCCATGGAGATATCAGCACATCAAAAAATAGGACATAAAAACTACTATTTTAGTTTAGCATAGTGTAAATATAATTAAATTTTCTAAAATAGATATCAGAACATGTAACTTAGTCCCATTTCCAGACATTTAGTGTTACAAATCAGAGAAGTGGTTTTGATATTGGTGGGAAGATCAAAAATGATAAGACAGAAGGAACAGAGGATGATCTGAAGAGGGCCAGTCCTGGACATCTGGTCAACCTTAGTGCCACCTGGGAGCACAAAATCCCTGTTTGGGAATAAGCTGGGAATAGTGCATGAGGGTTCACAGCCAAAAATAGCACACAGAAACAAGATGCCCAAAACCAATTCCGGCTCTTCCTTAGAGGTCAGAGAAGTATTAGTTAAAGTGTTTTATGTCTTTCCTCTACTGCTATCTCCCATTCTCTGAACCTCATATTATTCTTTACAAGTTAGACTTCTGGGAGGAGGGCAAATCAAGGAGATTTGAAATTTTCTGATTGGCAGAAATCAAGGAGATTTGAGGTTCTCTGATTGGCAGCCCCAGCTCTATTGATTTCCTTACTTCTGGATGGCCTTGTGGCCTAGAAAGAGTCTTCAAAATAAAAATGTCTTCCCTACAGATCTTTTGCCACTATCAACCTCCATCTCCAAGACTTGCCACTATTTATGGTTTTACAAAATATTTCTGAATTTACTTTTGTTTAAGTGTTCATATTTGCCATCATAATTATAATGCAAATTACTGGAAATACAAGAAATAAAGAAAAAATTTATTCATTAAAAAAATGAATTAGCTCTCTGATGACAAAGTTGAACATTTATTTTGGGGCTAATTCCCAACCTAATTTGAACTAATCAAAGGGAACAGTTTAGAATATCTGGTTTTCAACAAGCAAAGGTTTTGCATAAGCTGAGCACATAAATAATTACACTGAAGTATTACTAGAAGAGTTGTCTGCAACAACCAGATACCAAAAATTATTTTTTTAGATGCTGTGATTTCATATTTAAGCCATATATTAATTTGCATTACTTTTAAGAAGAAAATTGTTGGTAATATCAATATTGACCTTGATGCTCATTTTCTCCCCTTGAAACTCAAAATTGAATATCACATTTTCCTATTTTCAGGCATTCCTCCTTGTTAATCTATAAACTGCCCATGGCAGATGTTTACCCTCTATCACAGACCTTTCACAAATTAGAGTCAGGTAAGAGTGACAACATTCAAATAAATCTTTTGAAGAATCAACTAATACTAAAATAATAATTTAATGGAAGGTAATTACATAACAGCTTTTAAAAATAGGCCTGTAGGGCATGATTTTTAATAATTCTAATGGCAGGTAATGGTGGGATTTAATCCCAATTTAGGTTAATCTGACTATGAAAAGAAGTTAATCTGCAGTGCAGGAACTGAAGCTGCAGGAAACACGTGCTTGACTGTTCCTACTGTGAAGCCATGACATTCCCCTCTAAAAGCCCCTTAGCATGGCCTGCTTTGCATACATGTATATAATCCATTCACACTAAGTGTCCCAAATTATTACTTTACTCCCTTTTTTCCTTGCCTTGCCTATCCACCTCCTTCCCACTTTCTCCCTCAGTTGATTCCCTTGCTTTATATTTCACTAATAAAACAGAAGCAACAGAGAAAGTTTCCATTCATCCATCAACCTCCTTGTGTCTGTGCAGGTGTATTTGGCCTTCCTGTTTGAATGATAGCTTCGACTGTCCCCTGCATTGTGTGTAACTCCTCTTGGTGAATTGAACTTGTCCACATTCTCTCTTCTGACATCATTTTCTCTGCTTTCAGCTGAATCATTCACAACAGCAAAACATCATGGTGTAATTTATAAGCACAACATAATGGTGAAGAGCTCAAACTCTAGAGCCTGTCTTTCTGGGTTCTCAGCCCAGGACTGCTGCTTACCAGCTGTGACACTGGGTGAAGTACTCATTTCCTGCATATCTAGATGGTTCATCTCTACAGTGATGGATACTATTAGGGCCCACTTGACCAGGTTATTAGGATTAAATGAGTAAATATTTTAAGTGCCTAGAACAGTACCTGGCTAATTGTGTTTGACATAATATACATCTCTGCTTTGTTCCTTCCATGCTAGACAGATGACTTTCTAGTGCTTCCTAACTGCTGCCAGACATGTAAGCTCTTGCCTCAGGACTTTGTACTTGCTAATCCTTCTTCCCAAAATTCTTCCTCCCAAACATCCAGGCTTCTTCCTCACATTTTCAGGTGTCGGTTCAATGATTAACTTATTACTGTGGCCTTTTCTTACCATCTGGTAAAAAAAGAGTGCCTAGTGCTCCGTATTTATTTTTACCAGCTTTATTTTTATTTAAGCCACTGCCATTAACTTTATTGTATATTTAAGTGTTTAATGTTACTTTATTTATTGTATATTTAAGTATAATATTTATTGTATATTTAAGTAAATATTGTTTAAGTAAATATTTATTGTATATTTAAGTATTTAATGTTACTAGTTCATCTCACTAAAATGCAAACTACATCAAGACAGGAGTATTTGTTTTCTTTACTTTTCTATTTCTGGCATCTAAGACTGTCTCACACATAGCAGATTCTTAGTATATAAATGGTGGAAATTAGTGTATAAATGGCTATGTGAATCTGGTGACAAGTGTCATGCAGAGTTTTTGGTGGGGAAGTCCAGCAGAGATAATATAACAGATGAACTGGCTAAAGGGAGTATTGAGTTTTCTTAAAGAGAATGGGATAGGATCTTCCTCATGTGTAAGAATATTTTAATCAGTGATGTAGTTCTTCAGGGAACTTTTATAGCTTCCAAAGACATGCACTCAATACCAAAACAAATATTATTGAAACATAATATTGGAAAATTATAATATCAGTGTTAATATGGTATATATTTCTATTAAATCTGTGTGGCTTTCCTTATTTTGTCCTTAACTCAAGCACTTGCTTATTCAGCCTTATCTTCTATTTATATTTATGATTTACATTTTAATTCTTTATGATTTTGAAAAAATTATTGGTAATAAATTGTAAGCATCTACTATTAATACTAGTCTTATTTATTCTTCAGTGAAGCATAACTTTAACTTGGAAGAATACAGCCTCTCTCAGTGCACATTGGAAAAGGTAAGTCAACTGATTTGACTTTGTATCATCCTGGTAAATTTCACATGAAAGAAACATGCATTTTCCTGTTCATTGGGAAGACCAACAACTTGATAATCTCTCTTTTTCCTTTCCTTTTTCTTTATCTCCTATTTAGGTATTCTTAGAGCTTTCTAAAGAGCAGGAAGTGGAAAATTTTGATGAAGAAGTTGATACAACTATGAGATGGAAACTCCTCCCTCATTCAGATGAACCTTAAAACCTCAAACCTAATAATTTTTTTGTTGATGTCCTGTGTTTTATGTGATAATTAATAGTATGTATGTTTTAAAGATCATTTAATATTAACATCAGGAATATTTTGTATATTTAGTTAATAAGTAAATAAATTTTAAAATTATTCTTTCTCTAAAACATAAGGGTGACAACAAACCTGTGATAAAGGCAATACAAATTATTAGTAAAGTTACCTAAAAAGTCGGGGACTGAGTATTGTGGAAATAAAACTATAAACTTAGAATTTTACAAAATATGACTTTTTTATCTTTTACTAAAACATTCTCTTGCTGAAATATGTGAAGGGTATGTTCAGTAGCCAAGAGCTCCAATGGCAACTTCATACCAGTTCATGATACAACAGGTATACAGGTTTTCTTTTATGTACAAGTACAACTCAAGAGTATTCTGAAAATGTTCCAGAAATTGCTTTAAAACTCACAAGTATTAGGAGGTCCTTGGACATACAAATAGACAAACACACACATTGAAAAGTAGATCAAATATACTTTTCAAAAATAAAGGGACTCATGGTAATATTTATTTAGATTTTTAAAATTTGAATACTCTTAACACTATTAACTTACTATTTTCAGGGGGTGCTAATTTTCCTTGTCATCTTTGAATAGTTTTCTGGGATTTGATATTATTTTAAAATAATTTCTCTCTTATGTAAGTGTATGTGCATGTATGTATATCTATATATTTCCACATATCTTTTATATTATTTAATTTTAAAATATCTGTCAATTTGACATATAACTTTATTCTTCCCTTAAAAATAGTTATTTCATTCTGAATATTACCAAAAACTTTTCAAAGACCAAGAGTACTCCTGCTGTGATTTTTTTGGTGTTCACATATTGTACACAATTATAAGGGGTTCAATTCAACAAGAAGAGTTAACCGTCCTAAATATATATGCACCCAATATTGAGCACCCAGATTCATAAAACGATGATTCCTAGACCTATGAAAAGACTTAGAGAACCAAACAATAATAGTAGAAACCTACAACACCCCACTGACAGTGTTAAACTTACTGTTGAGGTAGAAAACTAACAAAGAAATTTTGGACTTCAATTTGATACTTGACCAATTGGAACTAACAGACATCTAGAGAACACCCCCACTGATCACCACAGAATATACGTTCTTCTCGTCTGCACACAATACTCCAAGATTAGCCACATGCTCAGACATAAAGCAAGTCTCAATACATTTAAAAAATTGAAATTATACCAACCATATTATCAGACCACAGTGGAGTAAAAGCAGAAATCAATACCAAGAAGATCTCCCCAAATCATGGAATTACATGGAAATTTAAAACTTTCTCCTGAATGACATTTGGGTAAATGATTAAATTAAGACAGAAAAAAAAATTTTTTTAATAAATGAAAATACAACATACCAAAATTTCTGAAATGCAGCAAAAGCAGTGTTAAGAGGGAAGTTTATAGCACTAAATACCTACCTCAAAAAGTTAGAAAGATATCAAATTAACAGTCTAACATAACACCCGGTGGAACAGAAGAACAAGAACAAAATAACCCCAAACTAGCAGAAGAAAATAAATAACTAAAATCAGTGCAGAACTAAAAAAATTTGGGGCCCAAAAATCCACATGAAGAATAAGTGAAACAAAAAAATTGGTTTTTTGAAAGGATAAACAAGATTGATAGACAACTAGCTAGACTGAAAAAGAAAAAAAGGAGAAGATCCGAATAAGCGCAATCAGAAATGACAAAGGTGACATTACAACTCATAGAAATACAAAAGATCCTCTGAGACTATTATGAACACTCCAATGCACACAAACTAGAAAATCTAGAGGAAATGGATAAATTTCTGGAAACACGCAATCTTCCAAAATCCAACCAGGAAGAAATTGAAACCCTGACAGCCCAATACCAAGTTTCAGAATTGAACTAGTAATGAAAAACCTACCAACCAAGAAAAGCCCCAGACCAGATGGATTCACAACTGAATTCTATCAGACTTACAAAGAAAAGCTGAGAAATTTTACCGAAACTATTCTAAAAATTCAAAGATGAGTGACTAGTCCCTAATGCATGTTATGAAGCCAGCATCACTCTAATAACAGAATCTGGCAAAGAAACAACAATAAAGAAAACTACAGATTAATATGCCTGATGAATATAGATGTCAATATCCTCAGCAAAATATAAGCAAACTGAATTTAGCAGCACATCAAAAAGTTAATTAACCGTGATCAAGTTGCCTTAACTCCTAGGATGCAAGTTTGGTTCAACATACACAAACCAATAAATGTTATTTGCCACATAAAGAGAATTAAAAATAAAATCATATGAGTATATCTTTAGATGTGGGAAAAGCCTATGATTAAATCCAACATCCCTTCATGATAAAAACCCTCAACAAAATAGAAATTGAAGGAACCTACCTCAAAATAATAGGAGCCATTAATGACAAACCCATAGCCAACATCATACTGGATGGGCAAAAGATGGAATCATTCCCCTTGAGAATGAAACAAGACAAGAATGCCCACTTTCGCCACTCCTATTCAAAATAGTACTGAATTCTTTGCCAGAGTAATGAGGCAAGAAAAGAAAAGAAAAAGCATCCAAATAGATGGCCATACAAAAAATAAATACCTAGGAATACATCTAACCCATCTAACCAAGGAGGTGAAAGATCTCTGTAAGGAGAATCACAAAACACTGCCGAAAGAAATCATAGATGATGGCCAGGCACAGTGGCTCACACCTGTAATCCCAACACTTTGGGAGGCTGAGGTAGGCGGATCATTTGAGGTCAGGAGTTTGAGACCAGCCTGGCCAATATGGTGAAACCCCAACTCTACTAAAAATACAAAAATTAGCTGGGTGAGGTATTGTGCCTGTAGTCCCAGCTACTCAGGAGGCTAAGAAAGAATAATGGCTTGAACCCGGGAGACAGAGGTTGCAGTGAGCCAAGATGGCACTACTGCACTCCAGCCTGAGTGACAGAGGAATATTCCATCTCAAAAAAAAAAAAAAAAAAAAGAAAAGAAATCACAGATGACATAGAAAAATATGACTTGCTTATGGATTGAAAGATTAAATACAGTCAAAATGGCCATATTCCCCAAAACAATCTACAGATTTGACACTATTTCTACCAAACTATTAATGCCATTTTTCATGGAGTTAGAAAAAGTACTTTAAAATTTATATTAAAAAGCCTGAATGGTCAAAACAACTCTAAGCAAAAAAGAACAAAGCCAGAAGCATCATATTACTTGACTTCAAACAGTATTATAAGGTTACAGTCATCAAAACAACATGATACTTGTACAAAAACAGAGATATAAACCAATGGAACAGAATAGGGAACCCAGAAATAAAGACATACACCAACAACCACCTGTTCTTTGACAAAAAGACAAAAATAAGCAATTAGGAAAGGACTCCTTATTTAATAAATGGTGCTGGGATAGTTCCAAATAATGAAAGTGGACTCCCACCTTTCACCATATGCAAAATGTAACTTAAGATAAATCAAAGATTTAAATGTAAGACTTCAAACTATAAGAATCCTATGAGAAAACCTAGGAAACAACATTCTGGAATCTGCCTTAGGAAAGAATTTATGGCTAAGTCCTCAAAAGCAATTGCAGCAAAAATAATAATGGCTCAGTGGGACCTAAGTAAACTAAAGAGCTTCTGCACAGCAAAATAAACTATCAACAGCATAAACATACAACCTAGAGAATGTGAGAAAATATTAACAACCTATTCATCTGACAAAGGTCTAATATCAAGAATCTATAAGGAACTTTTATAGCAGTAAGCAAAAAACAAATAATCCCATTAAAAAGCAGGCAAAAACCAACAGACACTTCTAAAAGGATGACATACAAGCAGCCGACAAACATGAAAAAATGCTCAACACTGCTAATCACCAGAGAACTGCAAATCAAATCCACAATAAGATACCATATTATGCCAAACAAAATTGTGCTTATTAAGAAGTTAAAAAACAGCAGATGCTGGCAAGGCTGTGGAGAAAGGGGAACACTGCCACTGTGGAAAGCAGTTTAGAGATTTCTTAAAGAACTTAAAATAGAGCTACCATTTGACCCAGCAATCTTATTATTGGGTATATAACCAAAGGAAAATAAATAATTCTACCCAAAAAACACATGAACTTGTATGTTCATCACAGCAGTATTCACAATAACAAAGACATGGAATCAACCTAGATGCCCAGTGGTGGTGGACTGGATAAAGAAAATGTAGTACATTTATACCCTGGAATAAAAAGGAACACCCATCCATAAAATACACTCGACCATGAAAAGGAACAAAATCATGTTCTTTACAACAACATGGATGCAGCTAGAGGCCATTAGCCTAAGCAAAGTAATGCAGGATCAGAAAACCAAGTGTCACATGTTCTTCCTTTTAAGTGGGAGCTAAATATTGAGTAGTTATGGACATAAAGATGGCAACAATAGTCCCCCAGGAGACTAATAGACAGGGAAGAGAAGCAAGAGTTGAGAAACTAACCATTGCCTACTATACTTTTATACTTATTATAATTTAGGTTCTGGGATATATGTGCAGAACGTGCAGGCTTGTTACATAGGTATACACGTGCCATGGTGGTTTGCTGAACTCATGAACCCATCGTCTACATTAGGTATTTCTACAAATGCTATCCCTTGCATTGCCCCCCATACCTCAATAGGCCCTGGTGTATGATGTTTCCCTCCCTGTGCCCATATGTTCTCATCGTTCAATTCCCACTTATGAGTGAGAGCATGTGGTGTTTGGTTTTCTGTTCCTGTGTTAGTTTGCTGAGAATGATGATTTCCAGTTTCATTTGTGTTCCTACCAAGGACATAAACTCATCGGTTTTTATGGCTGCATGGTATTCCATGATGTATATATGCCACATTTTCTTTATCCAGTCTATCACTGATGGGCATTTGGGTTGGTTCCGAGTCTTTGCTATTGTAAATAATGCTGCAGTAAACATATGTGTGCATGTGTCTTTGTAGTAGAATGACTTATAATCTTTGGGTACATACCCAACTGTGGAATTCTGGGGTCAAGTGGTAGTTCTAGTTCTTAGTTCTAGATCCTTGAGGAATCACCACACTGTCTTCCACAATGGTTGAACTAATTTACACTCGCACCAACAATGTAAAACTGTTTCTATTTCTCCACATCCTCTCCAGCATCTGTTGTTTCCTGATGTTTTAATGATCGC